CAAGTCCTCTTGGGACTTCTGTTTTTGCTGTGTGAGTAGATATACAGGAGTGAGATCTGGGGTCACCCAGTAGCTGATCCTTCTTGGGGGCCAGTCATTTGTTTGGGGCTTTGTCTCTTTTTTAATTTTTTTACTGGTCAATCATAATTATACATAGTAGTGGGATTCATACATGCACAGAACATAAGTTGCTCAGTCTCCTTTCATGTACCATCCTTTTGCCTTCCCTCTTCTCTCCTCTCAGCCAGGTTTTATTTAGATCCATGTTTTTGTGTATTTATTCTTGTTCTTTTTAGTTATAAATAACATTAGTATTCATTTGACATAAAAGCATGGAATATAATTTTTTCTAATTCAGTCTTCAGTACTTCCTTTCTTCCCTCCTCTTTCTCCCATTTCCTTCCATCTACTCTACTGATCTTTCTCCTATTATAGTTTTTTAAATTATTGTCTTATGGATATGCATGATGGTGAGATATCTCTCCTATGTATTGAAATATTGTTGAGCTCAAGTGTGACTAGTTCATGCATGGAGTTAGGTTCACTGTCACTTGGCTGAGTTGTGGGTGTAGCTTAGCAGCAGGATCTGAACCCAGTGATCTTGTAGTATTCCAATAGCTCCCAGCACCTCATAAAGGAAGGGGGAACATGTAATAGCAATACAAGCAACCAGTAATGCAGCTTTAAATGTCTGGTGTCTACTCTAATGTCTACAAATCTAAATTGTCACATAAAGAGAGATGATGGGGTCAGCATATAACATCAGCACCAACAATAGACAATTGTACTAGATCTAACATTAAACAACAAGTGTCAAATGTGTCATACACCATATTAATAACCACAACTACATTAATGGTGGGGGATAGAAATTATAGAAACTAAATAGTTTTAACAGATAATAAAATTATAGTTCTTTAAGTGAAGAAATAATATGGTAGAAAGGCAAGAGAAAGCTTGATGTATTTAAAAAGTGAACAAAGGGAAAACAGAAGAAGTGTAGTAGGTGATGGTTATAAAGAAGGAGGAATAAAAAATACTGAAAGGAATAAAATAAGAGAGGAAGAGGGAATAAGAGGTTTTGCCTATTAATGGGAAGGAAAATGAAGAAGGAATAATAAGAACAAAAAACAAAGATAAAAACAAACAAACCAAAATAAACCCACATAAAATTTTACCCCTCCAGAATCAAAACAAGGCTAAATAGCAAACAGGTGAATTTTTAAAAAATAATTAAAATTAAAGAAAAATTACATGTATATATCTTAAATTCTCAGCATAGTGAAAACATTTATATACATAAATACAGAATAGAAGAAATAAAAGTAAAAATTGGAGGAAAATATTTTTAATGATAAATAGAAGGGCTTGTTTCTTCTGGAGTGGTCAAAACTGTTGGAAAGGATGGATGCTCTTAAGCCATTCTTTGTATTTTATATTTTTGTGCTCTGAACCCCTCAGATCAAGGACTGGGGGTTGTTAAATTCGACCTCTTTATGTTTTTCCCCAAGCTGCTAGGTGGTGTGGCCTGGACTCAAAGCTGGTTGTAGTAGTTCTCAGCTTCCTGTCTTACAGAATGTACTCTCCAAATGGAGCTGATGCAGAATTCTAAACCAGGGGCTTGGATTTACTCCTGACTGTCCTTTTGACCTTTCAGGGAGATATTTGAGGTTAAATACACACCCGCTCTTGCTGGACAGATGCTGATCTCTGTTGGACCTATGGATCTCAGGGCCCTTTAGAAAATTCCACTTCTATAGTGGATCTAACTTTCCACAGTTCTCACTTATTCCACTGCTGTGTGTATAGATTTCCCAGGATCAGAGCACCTGTCTGACTGGTTTCTGGCCTCTTCCTAGACGCTTGCCCATGCTGCCAGCAACAACGGAAATTGGAGCCTCTCCATCCTCAGTATCTCTGGCCTGGATTGCCCTGGGCATAATCCTCTGTGCCTGTTTTCAGTTGTGCTGGTCCAGGCTCACTCTGGACCCCATGGCAGAATGGGTGGCAAATGGCAAACTGCTGTGTAACCACTTGCAAATGTTTCTCACAACCACTCCACTCATCAGCAAAAGATTCTGATCACTTTTGCTTCTCAGCTTGCTCCACTAGTCTGTTAAAATCAGTCTCCCTCTGTGTCCCACAAGTTCTCTCATGCCAAATTTAGTCACAGTTCTTTTCTCTTTCTGCCTGTGTTACCTCTCCCCTCTGCAGTGTACTGGTGGTGCTCATGTTGGTGTGTCTCTAATGTATTCTTTCTTGTTCTATATGACAAGGTTCTGAGTTTCTGATTATTTTATTGTCTAGTGCTGAATTTAAGTGAATTCCCTCAGTCACCTACCTTGCTGAGAAACAGTACTCTTGCTGCTTGAATCTCAAGCTGTGGAACAGCTGGAGAGTGAACCCTTCCTCTAATCTAACATCTTCTTTCTCTTGTTCTCAAATGGAATTTTCTAGCTAAATCTAAAGGGTTTCTTCTGTAAATTAATTGTAATAACCATTTGTACACTGTTATGGTAGGTTTATTATTATAATTCATTGAGAAGACATGAAACTCTCCATACTGTGTGAAAGATGGGACATGAATGCTGATTTCCATATTGCACTTACTCATCTCTGTAATACATATATATAAAGAGAGATTCTCCTTACATAAAGTGTGTTTTTAGTGTTTAAAGATAGTATATGTAGTTTATCTCCTCTGCAGTTAATCTTCTCAGACACTGGAGGTAAAACTGGCTGATATTGGATTTATAGAGAATCTACATTGCCAAGGTATTTTTTTGAGGATCATTCTGATCAAAGGCAAATTTTAGCAATGATTACAGGAAATGAGCACCATCATAAAATGGGGATCCAGTGTAGTCTAATAAAGTTGGTCTATCAGATTTTGATGAAACAGTGATAGAAAAGAAGTGGCATAAGAATAAATTGGGAATGTTTTCAAATGGTGTACTGAAGGATTCAACTTTATCTGAAAGAGTCATTTGAGATCTCTGGTTTCTTAAAAGCTTTATTTTAGAGGAATAACTCTCAAGCGATATTCCTATGACTTAACAAGCTGGATTTCAAGTTTTTGTTACTGGAATTGAATAATTTAGTGTGTTTCTTACCTAATTTTGAGGAAAGTATTAGACTAGAACGTTTGCAGTTTTATGGGTTTTCTCCTATGATGAAGAAGTAACAAAAGAAATATTCATATCATAGAAAAATTTTAGTTTGGCAGTTGTGGTTTTTTGTATATACTTCAAATTTTCTTTATGTATTCATTTCTCAACAAATAATTAGGTTGTTTCCATAGCTTGGCTATTGTGAATAATTCTGAAATGAATATGGAGATACAGATATTTCTTTGAGATAGTAATTTCATTTTCTTTCGATGTATACCTAGGAGTAGGATTGATGGATCAGACAGTAATTATGTTTCTAATTTTTTAAGAAACTTAATACTATTTTTCACAATGACTGTACTGATTTACAGTCCCACAGCAATGTATATGTAAGGGTTCTCTTTTCTCCACATCCTTGCCAACACTTATTACTTATCTTTTTGGTGACAGCCACCCGAACAATGTCAGGGACAGTTGTGTTTTTATGTTGTTTTCGTATACATAGTCATTTTTCTGTCAGCAAATGTGATAGAATTAGACATGTTCATATTTTTTTAAAATTTTTTTTGTTTTAATTAGACATGTTTGTATTTCATGGTGAGTTTCTTGAAAGAACATTAAGAATTTAAGTGAACCCTTTTCTGAATAAGTGTGAGTTTTACTGGTAATAATGAAAGACTGGAAATAGAAAAACCAATTGTCTTAATATTTTATTTTTCTAACCTTCTATATGGGGGTACAAATGTCTTTGAACAACCAACATATTTTTGAGAATTTACTATTTTCTCTTATCAAGAACTTTCTAACGGACTTAGAAATCTTACATAATACAGTTCATCTTCTCAATAATCTTAATTTGATAAGTAAAATGTACCCCGATGTTATAATTTAAAAGTTAAGTGCTAAATTGTCATAAGTATTCATAATAGGAGTAATCATTGAGGCTTCAAGTAATCAAGAAGACTTCTTAGAGCAAGGGAGACTGGCAATGAATGAATCTCATTCAGAAAGGCAGAAAGAAGAAATCCTCTAAGAACAGCAGTGCATGTACAATGAATGTGGACTTTGGTCTTATTTGGGTAGAGGATATTTATTGGGACATCATGGAATACAGGTTAGAATCAAGATAGGTTTGACAAATTATGAAAATGATCCAGAAAATTAACATTTTCTTAGTCAAAACTAGCTGAGTTTCCCTATATAAATTCTTTAAGGGTTTCAAAGGGAACATTTGAATCCTCGTATCATTTAAATATATTTGTAATTTAATTACACAACATTTCTAATCTAATAATGACCTTCAGACTTTATATGTAAGGTACATATAAAATATACATTAATTTTGTGTTTAGAATTGACTCTCATCTCCAGTGTAACTCATTATATATATGCAACGATTTTAGAACATGAAAGAATTTTAAATCCAAGACACTTCTGGTCTCAAGATTTCAAATTAGAGATACTCAACCTGTAAAATAGGCATTTTCTAAAATTAGAAAAGAAATATATAATCAAATATTTTGATAATCTTTGCTTACGTGTTTTATTGTCTTTATATTCTGGGAATAAGTGTAGTAAAACCCATTAATTCAAAAGTATTTGAGTGTCTTTCATGTGACAAGAGTGAACACAAACAAGAGGCCCTCTCTTACACTCTGAATGTCAAGGAGATTGGTAGAAAGAGAAAGTTGAAAGTAGACAGGAAAATGGTCATTCAGGGAAAGAAGGGAAGTCTGTGTTGTCAGAAGATGATATTTCTTTAGAACCAGTGAGCAGATGTTAATATCCATGACTTTTTTCAAAAAAAACTTTTTTTCATAGTTGACAGAATTTACTTGCTAAGGTATAAAAAGATGTTCAATTTCATGTGCTCACCCAATGATTTTTCAGATGAATGCACTGGATACCCTGGGTCAGACTGCTTTGCATAGAGCTGCCCTAGCTGGTCACCTGCAAACCTGCCGCCTCCTGCTGAGTTATGGTTCTGATCCCTCCATCATCTCCTTACAAGGCTTTACAGCGGCACAAATGGGAAATGAAGCAGTGCAGCAGATTCTGAGTGGTGAGTTAAAATAAACAGTGTCCTGCTCAAACTTTATACCAAATGTTTTAAAAAGTATCTCCTTAGAACATTTTCTTGGCCTGAATTTTTCCCCCATGCCTTTCCCAACTTGTAGTTTACTCTGTGACATTTCCTGTCTCTCAGTCTTCGTAGGATGAGGTAGATATCATGAGAAGGATGCAAACATACTTTTAAATTTTTTTCCATTTAAAATTAAAACCTTGACTCATGGGTGATAAGATCGAAGATGACTTAAAATTTATATAAACAGTATGGAATTATGGTAGTTCTAAATCTATCAAATAGAGAAAATTAAAATTCATTCTTGTGATAATGACCTTTAATTAATTATTCTCATGTGTAATATTCTGATCTACTTTCTATCACTTTTAGCTTCAATTACACTATTATGAAATTATCCTTTCCCTCAATTTAAATATAATTATAAAATCTTGCTAAAAATCACAGTAAATGCTTACTACAGTGAGATAGTTTAATTATTTAGTTTATTGAGGGAGATCAAACATAAAATGGATACAGAAGCAGGCACTAGCTTCTTAAGTCCCCACATTAAAGGAAATAGCACAGAAAAAATTTTAGCCTACTGAAAAATTGTGAACTAAATACAAAAGAAAGTTAGTATAATTGACCCCTTTTTCGAATCCTTAACTTTGTGGTTTATATATCTTATAGAATCACATAAGCTAGAAGAGTAAAATGGAAAACACTACAGACTAGCAGGCAGAAGTCCTGGTTACTCTTTTTTACCTGTAGTCCAATAGCTCTTAAACTCTGTGAGGCACAATGTCCCCTTTTTAGTGAATATTTTATGACATCCTCTTTACTTTCCAGAAATGAAATTCAAAGATAATATATACAAATATCTCTACAAATATCTTCCCTAAAAATCTATATAAAATACCATTACTATAAGGAGGAAAATTACAATTACAATTAAATAATTTAAAATTATTGTGTAATAATTTGGTCACGACTATAGTAGAAAACAAAAATTGCCCCTACAAATTTTTAATGGGCCCCCAAGAAGTACAACCCAGTAGAGAATCACTGCTATATCCTGAGATACACAACCTTCCAAGGCAGAGAGATGGAGATCATGGTGGATGTGTTCTAACTCAGAGCCTCATGAAATAATTGTTTAGCACTTTGAAAACTATTGATTTGGATTTTCTTTCCTCATAACAACCATTCTATTTCAGTCTTAGATGATTATCTTTAGATAATGAAAAAATACCAATCTAAGACATCTTCACCATCAAAATGATCTCACTGAAGGAATAAAATTCTCCATTATTGGATTTCAAGCTTGAACTATTTGACCAAGACTTATTTCCTGTTTCTACAGATCACTGAATTATTTGCTTAAGAAAGATGTCACTCTTAACTAGGACTTATTTCTGCCTTCTGTACAAGTTCCAGTAATTGTATAAAAATCGTGATTTTTATTAAAATATTCTAAATTTTTCCCCTATACTTTTTATGAGAATCATTTAGCACTGAATTTTCAGTTAATTCCTATAAGTTTTTAACCTTATGTCAGACAAGCTGACAACTATTGCATCAAAATTCCTAATACTGTAAATAGTTTGTAGAAACAGTCAACAAAATGGGGAAGAAAGAATTGAATAAATCAAGCAGATTTGATTATATAATGTTTTTAAATGTAGCTGTGTAGTAGAGTGTTTGCCTAGCATGTGCAAGGCCCTAGGTTCCGTCCCCTGTATCACATATCAAAGCAAAAAATATTAAATATCTCCTCAATAAATGCAGTTAGAATAAATGCCTTCTTGTGAATGATAACATTAAACACTAAATCATAGATGAGATGTTTTACAATTTTGATAATTGTGCTTTAAAATTGATTTGTAAGATTAGACATATAAGTCACTAGATGGTTAATTTTGGACATGGCAGAACTTTTTCACTGAATTTTTGTAATCTTTATTGCTCTAAAAAGATAATACCAATATTAGAGTATGCAGTGAAATAGTGCCGTTTAAGAGGGTTTTTATTTTTAAATGGGTATTGTTTTATGTTTGGAAGAAGATAATTTTTTAAACTAATTTTTTTTAAGAGAGAGAGAATTTTATTTTATTTTATTTTACTGTATTAGTTTTCGACAGACACAACATCTTTGTTTTTGTATGTGTTGCTGAGGATCGAACCTGGGCCGCACGCATGCCAGGCGAGCACGCTACCAATTGAGCCACAACCCCAGCCCCTTAAACTAATATTTATACCAGTTATTTATTTGTTAATAGACTGAACCATGCACCAACTGAAATTTTTAATTTTGCTTACATTTATTAATCCAATTCCAGGTTATATTTACAATGACTCCTGAGAGAATGTATTAGTCATATAAGATATATATTAAGTTGTTGAGGTTATGTTGTGGATAATGTTTTAAAGGTTCATTTTAATATGCTTGCTAATACCAGAGTTGAGATCTATTTTAAAAACCTATACCTTTAGATATTAACTTTATAGTTGCCAGTTTACATGAATAAAGCTTTCACTGTAAATTTGGACAGTGTCCAAATTAATGTCAGAGTAAAGAAAACAAAATAGGCAGTTTTCTATGAATTAGCACTTTAAAAGTTCATTTCAGAAGATTTGGCTGTTTTCTCCAGACCAGTTCTGTCCCTATAGTTTGCCTGTAGCTACCTATAACTTCATTTAAATTAGGGCTGGGCTTTAGCTCAGTGGAAGAGCACTACCCTTGCATGCAGAAGACCTTGGGTTCAGTCCTTAGTACCACCAAAATTAATTAAAAAAAAAAATAAGTAAAATTGAAAATTCATGAGTCACCACTGGCCACATTTCAGGTAAAAGTTACACATGTCTAGTGGCAACCATGTTAGATAGGGCAGATAAAAAATATTATATTGGGGCTGAGTTTGTAGCTCAGTGATCAGTAGTAGAGCGCTTGTGAGGCAATGAGTTCAATCCTCAGCACCAAATAAAAATAAATAAATAAAATGTATTAGTGTCCATCTGCAACTAAAAACATTACTTACAGTCTTCTAGACAGTGCATTTAAGCTATATTTTATTCTGAGTTATTCTGACTTTTTTTATCCCAGTGTGGAATAACCATTACTGTCCTCTAATTATTTCCACAGGTAAGGATTTAGGGACTTATGGTAACTAAATTTAAACCTTGAAGTTCATATTTTCAGTGGTATATTGAAATAAGCCACTAAAACTTGTTGCTAGTTCAGTGATCTAATACTAAATAAAGAGCCAGGCCATAAGAGATTATATTAAAATAGCAAAATGGCTTCTAGCTTCTGGAAGATTTAAAAATTCTGGTGAGAATGACTAGGAGAAAAGTAGAAGCCCATCTCCAGTCTCTGACTATAGGTAATATATTTAATACAGAAGCCAGTGTACTTATAAAGGACTTAACTAATACAGTACTTACTATGTAAGCTACTCCTCTTTTGCCTGATTTCCATTTTTATTTTTATATCACTTCTTTTAATTGTACATAACTTTATACAAAGTTCCTTCCAGTTAATACTTTGTTCACACTGTTTCTAAAAATGAGGCTGTTCTAAGCCAATAGAAGATTTTTAACAGATGCAGAGATCTACAGATAGTATAGTAATTAATCAATATCTTTATCTTCTTTACTTTCTGTTCTTTGACCAAGACTAAGTTACCTTTCTCACAGTTCTCAGAAGCCTTTATATATGTGTATAAAACATTTTATTTGATGGGAAAATTACAACCTTTACTAGTCAGTCTCCATCGTGGTACATGTGTGAATATCAAATTGTTCTTAGAATTCAGCCATATTAATAGTATCTCTCAAATTATAAAACCTAAAAATATCCCAAGTTCTAATTCTGTGTACATAAACAAATCATCCCTCTTTTGTTTGTTCAAATAATAAGCTAAAAATATTACCTACAGATATCTAAAGGATGTTTTAGTGAGTTTTATCATCTGTCAATCACTGTCATAAAGACATTCTATACATACAACGATATTCTTACCTATAAATGCAGTAATACCCACACAGAGAATGAAAGAAGATGAGACAGACAAGAACAGAATAAGACCAGCCAAAGGAGAGTTGAAGTTCGACATACACATTGACTGCAGCATTAAAATAGCAAGGAAATCAACTCAGCAATTGCTTTCTGAATTGTTCTCTATGTGAAAAGAAGATTGTTTGTCAGTTCCACACACTGACAAATGTTAGTTAAAAAGAAGAACAATTCAAAATGTATTTCATTATATGAAGCACACTTTTCTTTCCACTCTTTAATCTTAGTACTTTATCTACTAAGCATTATAAATATGATCAAATAGTTTATCTTCCATTGAAGAATTTTCATAACTTATCCTATAAAAGTCTGTCTCCTGAACCAAAGCACTTTAGAAGAACCTAAAGTATTTCTTCTGAAATCAGAAATCTTTTCATGGCATCACTTGATCTTCCCACTTGGAAAGTGGACTCAAAAAGGTGTCTCTGATCATAAGATGATACAATCTTAAATCTGAAAGTGACTCTGAGGGAAACCAACTCTCACTTTTTAAGTGCAAAAATTAAACTACTCTGTGATTTGTTCAAAGTTATACACTAGAGCCCTGTCTAAAATCCTAGTCTCCTGGAGCTTAGTGCTTTTGTGTTAATGTGTACGTGTGCATTATGAAAGCCATATTTAATGCCCATAAACATATTTTGGATGATAAATTATAAATTGTTTGCTTTAAAAGCCTATTTTGTTTGGGTCAATGTGAAATGGATTTGTAGTTTGTTTATATTGAATTAATCAAAATACATCATTTGTCAGTCTTTAGACTTAGCAGTCAAGCTTAATGATATTCTATTTAGCATTGGTATCATACCTTCCAAGTATACAGACATTTTTAATTGCATATCCTTGAAACCATTCAATAAATGTGAATTAAACAAATATATATAGTAGGACTTTTTATTCACTGATGATACTTTATAAGATTGTTGGGGACCACAAATCAAGTCAAGATGGCGCCTGGCAGTTTGCCAGAAGGAGTGGTTTGTGAGGCAACGCCACCGAGCCATTAAGATGGTAGGGATTCCTTATTGGTTGATTGCTGTAACTGGATGATGCTAATTGAGGCAAGCCGTGTGTAATCAGTTAGGTATATATACCGCTGTTGTTCCATAATAAAGCAGTTCCTGCTTCAACCTTCAAGTTGCTTGTCACCTCCCGGTTATTTTGCGCAGCCGGACTGCAGCATAAGATCATTCCAATTTCCTATGTAATGCTTCTGTTTTATATTGAAGACATTAAAACTAAAAAGAAAAATTAAACTAAGTAGTAAAAGTCAAATGGCTTCCCTAGGTTTACATAACAAATCCAGGACAAAGTTTTGCTGCAACACTTTGTAAAACCAATGTATCATAAAGATGTATTTTTGATCTCTTGTCCTAGGCTTTCTCACTTCACTCCCTTTTGTTAAATCTTTGGCCAGAAAATTGGAGGGATAGAGGATAGGATAGTAGGGATAGAAAATTATTTGTGTGCATTAGAAGTTATTTAAATTTGGCTTGGGGTGATACCTAGATTAAAGTAAGAAAGCATTTATTTCTTATCTGAAAAGTTGGGAAAAAAAACCTTTTATTACATCTTAGAAATTTCCAACCCCCTAATCTCTTTCTGTTTATCAAATTGTTTCCCCTCATTAACTGGTCTTTAATTCCCCAAGATCAATAGTAACCTTTCTTTTATTTAGAGAGTACACCTATACGCACTTCTGATGTTGATTATCGGCTCTTAGAGGCATCAAAGGCTGGTGACTTGGAAACTGTGAAGGTAAGTAAGTGCCTTTAATGTCTGGGGCAGCACTGTTGAACTTTGCTATCCAGTTCATTTTTAAGCTTCTTAGTAAAATTACTCAAATCTGGGCAATTAAAAACATTGATAGTTAGAATATATTCATAGATAGGAGAAGTCTTTAACTTTTTGTTTGATGGGAAACAAAACAAACCTACCAAGGATTTCCCAGCAAGTACCATGTAGCAGCAGAAGAAAAGATAAGCATACTTTTTAATCATTTTTCTTCAGGTTGCATGAAAGCTGTTCATTTTCACTTATATTAATTAAAGTGCTATTATTTTAGATCATATTCACAAATAGGTAAACCAGTTTAAATGAAGGCATTAGGATAATGTTTAAAATCTTTCTCAATATTTTTCCAGAGACTCTCATTTGTTTTAAGAAAGCATTCTTATGGCATTGTTTATATGCACAAGAAGAGTTTTCAAAATTTTATCACTATTTGTATTATAGAAAAAAGATTATAGACTAAACTTTGTCAAATATGAAATTCTAATATTGAATATGTTTTTCTTTAATAAAGAAGACCTGATTGCCATCTGTGATTATTCGTTTAGGGATAAAGTTAGCAAAACAAGAATTATGGCTTTGTTTTTGTTTCCATGTTAATTTCATGTGTTTTGTATGTAACAAGCAAATATATACTATAACTTTCAAGTTGTCTCAACAACACATTCACAGTGAAGGCCAAAGTTAATTTTGTCAGTGGAGTGCAAATGTCAAAAGGAAACAAAGCACAAATTAAATGAGTATTACGTCTGGTAAATTGCTTTCCCAAGAGGCTTTAGGAAGTATTAGAAGTATTAGGAGAAAAGGCTGTTTGCTGAGTAAAGTAGTTGAATTTTTTAATTGCTTTGGCATTTGAAATGGAATGGAGAAAAGGAACTTAAATATTCAAAAAGCAAGTATTTAATAAGCAGGATGGGCATTTATGTGTGTGTGTGTTTCATTACCTGCCTCATTCCTACTTTTCAGTATTTTCTGTAAAAGTAATAATAAGCATTTAGAATTTAAAATGGTGGTGGGGGTTGGGGAGCAGCAATATCAGAAAGCAGTTTCAGTTGTATAAGACTCCATAGAGAGCCGGGGTTGCGGCTCAGCAGTAGAGCACTCCCCTAGCGCATGCGAGGCCCTGGATTCGATCCTCAGCACCACATAAAAAAATAAATAAATAGAATATAGCTATTATGTCCAACTACAACTAAAAAATAAATATTTTTTAAAAAAGACTCCATAGAACGTGCTTACTACCCATCTTTACAGCTTTTCTTTTTAGTTTATATATTAATTTATTCATTTTCACTTGGTTTTGTTTATTGGTTCTGTTATTCATCTATTAATGTGGCTAAAGACAAGATATATGACCTGACCAGATCAAATTTTTTTTTAAACAGGACTTTAGATTTTAATTCCCATTTAGAGTTGATGAGCTTATGAGCTCTCTTTCACTAGCTAGACTTCTTCCTAAAAATCGTACCAATTGAAAGCCCTTGTTTTTGTCCTACCTTTGTGAATGTTTCTTTGTTTAGTCCATTTGTGCTTCTTTAATGAAATATCATAGACTAGGTAATTTATAAGCAATGATAATTTATTTCTCTTAGATCTAGAGGCAGGGAAGTCTAAGATCCAGGCATGATCAGGTTTAGTGTCTGGATGGGGCCAGTGTTTTGCTTTCAACGTGTCACCTTGTTGCCATATTCTTTGGAGGGAACAAAATGCTGTGTCCTCACATGGCAGAAGGGGAAAAAGGAGACAGCACTGTGTGTAACCTCTTTTATAAAAAAGTCTTAATCCCAGTCATGAGAGAGGAGTACCCATGGCCTAATCCCTCGCCTCTCGATACTGTTGTGTTGAAGATTAAGTTTCAACACAAATTTTGGAGGGACACATTCAAACCATAGCATCCCTACTCAATATCACTAAAAAAAGATCTTTCAGGTTCTTAGTTTGTATGTACTAATAGCTTGTTGCAGTGGCAGGAGTGGAAGCAAGCTTTACAGACAGTTCTCTCACTGAAAGAATCTGGTGTTCTTTTAAGCTATAAATTATTGAAATATTATTACAGGAGAATAGGAAAGACGGTAGAATGAATCAGAAACAACTTTCTTATATTCATATATGAATACACAACCAGTGAAACTCCACATCATGTACAACCACAAGAACGAGATCCAAATTATGACTGTATAATATGTCAAAATACATTCTACTGTCATGTATAACTAAAAAGAACAAATAATTTTTTTAGACAGATTTCAATCACCACTGGTGATATAGCCTTTTGTTCTTTCTTTGCATCTTACTCTTTGAAACCAATATAATGGAGCCTATAATTTATATTGTGCTGAAATGACATTCAAAGGAGATAGGAGATTTGGAGGTTCAGGTCAAACTACAGTTTGACTTGTAGAGTTAAACATTCTCCCCTAACTCAAGAAACCATTGTTGACTGCATGTCTTTGCTATAGTGGATCAGGGCCAAGTGAGTGACCCAAACAGAAAAATATTATTTCCAGTAAGCTTTTGCTTACTTGATCAATGTTAGAGGGGACAGGAACTTTGAATCTGCAGTCACCCAGAGTTCTTAGTTGAACAGAGAATGGCTAAGAGCATTCTACTAGAAGCAGATATGTTAAGACAAGCAGTTGTAGGGAAGAAAGACATACAAAAATGAAAAGGGAAGACTTCTTATACTTAGAGATGCCTACTTTATTTTGAGTTTTATTGATTAGGATTTGGACTAGGAATGTTAACAGTGATTGATTTACTCTGTACATAATTAGAAGTATTCATAGTCACTATAAAGCAAAACATAATGCCAGCTTTAATGTCATTTGTATTATCTAATCTTTGGAAATAAATATTCATTATAAAATCACAGCATATCCAAGATGTTACAATCTATTACAGCAATGAATAAATGTTAATGACCTTTTTGTGTTTATCTCTATGTATGCACTATTAAAGCAACTTTGCAGCCCTCAAAATGTGAATTGCAGAGATCTAGAAGGCCGCCATTCTACACCCTTACACTTTGCAGCAGGCTATAATCGTGTGTCTGTTGTGGAATACCTTCTACACCATGGTGCCGATGTCCATGCCAAAGACAAAGGGTATGTGTTAAAATTTAGCTATTTGGGATTTATTCTCTTCATACTTCATAAAAAGAAAATATGAAGTCTTAGCTTTATCTCCATTGAAAAACACTCATATGAAGCCAGATGTGGTGGTGCACACCTGTAATCCCAGCTACTCAGGAGGCTGAAGCTGGAGGATCCCAAGTTCAAAGCCAATCTCTGCAATTTAGTGAGATGCTGTCTAAAAATCAAAATTTTTTTAATTAATTAGTTAATTAATTAATTAAAGGGCTAATCATTTTTCATATGATCTCTAAGTGGTAAAGGACCCCTGGGTTTGAACCCAGTACTACCAAAAGAAAAAAAAAAAAAAGGCTGGTTCTGGTAGTGCACAGTTGTAATCCCAGCTATTTAGGAGATTGTGGCAAGAGAATTACTGCATTTTAGCTAGTCCCTGTCTCAAAATAATATACATTTTTTGTTGTTTAAATTGTAAGTTAAAACAGAAATGTACAGTATAGAAAGTAAAAATTCCATTAGCTTATCCCCTAGAAATACAAGCATTAATATTTTTAATATGTAATTTTCAGCTATGTGAAAAACAGTGGTTTTTAACACAGATGATGATGTCATTCTATAGTCTACTTTGAACTGTAATTTTTTTCACACAGTGGTGTATCTTGAATATCTTTCCTTATCAGTATTTAATAGTTTCTTTCTTTTTCTTAATGCCTATATTTAATATTTTATTACATTTTATGAATATTTTCATATAGTTTATGATATGCTATTTGTCTGTTATTTTTTGGTATTAAAAATGTATAATCTCTTTTCTTTAACCATCCATCCCAGAGTCATTAGTATTTAAAGAAACAATTTTATTTTTATTAATTTTAAAATATTATTTATTTTTATTATTAGTTTGATAAATTATTTAACTTTTCCTGGAAAAAGCTTAAAGTAGCCATAGAAGTAAATTAGAAACGTGAGAAGAGAATATGACTGAAACGAATTTTCATATTGTGTGTTAATTTCATAATCTCAAAATAAGCCAGCACCTCCTGTGCAGTTACACAGCAGAGTGCTGTAGAATTAAACTACATGATTTAGGCTTCAGTTAATCATTATAACGTGTTTATCTTTTTAAAGGGACACATCAGACATAAATATTCAACAGCAATGTCACTGACTCTTTCAAAATATTATGCTGCATTGGAGAGGAACAAATTTTTGTTACTATTGCTTATTTTAACACCCAGCATATTTCATCACAAAACATTTTTTTAAAAGCACTGATCTCTAAATAAAAAGACACTTGATATCTTGTTTTTGTTCTGTCTGAAGTGCAATATAAACTTACCCTTTTGATGCACTCTTTTTTATGGGGCATCTTTTTGTGCTTTTAGAATGCCATTTGCTTTCTAATCAGAACTTAGTCATCCCAGAATAGTTTGCTTATAAGTTGAGTCTACTAGAGTCTCTCTTCTGACTAAAATTTATAATTAGCATCATTATTTTCCTTAGTGAATAATACTTTTCTGAATCACTTGGAATGTGAGTTTTCATTCTTTGGCACCTTAATATTTAAATCTATCTGTTGAAATCATTATAGAATCGGTGCAAATTTTAAAATACGAAACAAAAACAAAAGATAGAATTTCTAAGTAGAATTGAACTGTGTATCTTTTAAGTAAATAATGGTTACATTGTATATTTTACAGGTAAGCATGCAATTTTCATAAACTCAAAAAGAAGAAAATCGATGATAAAACCTGATTGTTAATTATTCTGGAAATCACTTTGTAATATATAATTTTACGGTTGCCAGTGAGAAAATCTAAATTAAAAGTTTTGATGGAGTTTTATTCTCTATTTCTATATGTATTTTAGTGGTAATGATTGCTGTGATGTGTATATCCATGCCCAAGAAACAGAAAAGTCCTTCTGTGAAAAGAAACATTTTTAAAATGATTCATTCTTATTTAGAAATAAATAAATGCTTCATCTTAAAAACCAAAAAAAGGATTTATTTCTTTTTGATCCAATATTCAGAATAGTCAGTGCCATAAGAGCAGTATTTATATTATAAAAATCATTTTAACTCAAAAATTTGTTTTAGAACTTTAAAGTAATGTGTATGTGTCTTTGTTTTAGCGGCTTGGTGCCCCTTCATAATGCCTGTTCCTATGGACACTATGAGGTAGCTGAGCTTTTAGTGAGGCATGGAGCTTCTGTCAATGTGGCGGACTTATGGAAATTTACCCCTCTACATGAAGCAGCAGCTAAAGGAAAATATGAAATCTGCAAGCTCCTTTTAAAAGTATGTGGTTTTAAAAGTTCTAAAAACACAAACATTTGGTTTTTGATGATTAAACTTGAATCAGAATTTTGTTCTATTAAGAATAAGTGCTGTAGGGGCTGAGGTTGTGGCTCAGCAGTAAACACTTGCCTAGCATGTGTGAGGCACTGGGTTTGATTCTCAGCACTGCATATAAATAAAAAAAATAAAGGTCCATTGACAACTAAAAATTTTAAAATAAGTGCTATAGAAACCGCTTCCATTTTCACATTCACAGAGAAATGTTTTAGTATCATGATATGTCTATAGTTCTGAGTAGTCCTTGAAGTGTCTAAGTGAATTTGATTAAAGTCGTTTGTTCAAAGTGGGTTTTGAAAAGAGTTGATTTAGTTTGTGTTGTTTATCTAATATTTACAATATTAATATCAAAAAATGGTACAGGGAAAAATTGTTCTGGTTAGAAATTATTAAAATTTTCCCACCATTTTTCTGATATCAGAATTGTTCTTATGATTCTTCAGAAAAACATTGTATTTAATAATTATTTTTATTACAACTGGCTGGTAAGAAATAACTTCCATGTCATTGTTAATCTAGTTTCTAAGTTGATTTATTCCAAATTTCCATAGTGGGTCAAGAGCAGTCTGCGTTGTTTCTAAAATTAAAATTCTTGACTTTTATTTTATAGGTATGGGTGTTTAAACTTTTTATATCTAGGTTATTTTTAACACATTTTTGCTTAGCTTCAAAATAGATGGTAAAATTTAAAAAGTTACCAAACTTTTTCTTTACTGATGGCATTTAGAATAAAGTACTTTTTCCACTGATGTAATCTTCTTTTTCTCTATTCTTTTTCATGATACCCACTGAATATCTTTATGTAATTGAAATCTTGTGAGAGTTAACATCCAGGACGTTCTTAAATGGACAAGAGCTTTTCCAAAAAGATAACTAGGAATCTGAGAAAAAAGTATATTTTGTGATGAGTAAAAGATACTCAACACCCTCCCCTATTTCATCATCACCATTGATTCGCAGCCTTAGGTTAAGTAGTGCTTAGAAGCTGATCCAATACATTGCTAAGTAGGGAATGAACAAAAGCAGGATGTGGCTTCTCTTTTTTTAAAACACATACAGAACAGATATCTTTTCTCCCATGATGAATGAAAGTGGAATATGTTAAATAAATATGTACATGCTACCCACCCAACTTCCAACTGACAGAAAGCTACTATAGAAAACACAAACCCCATTTGGTTTTTCTTCTTTGTAGCATGGAGCAGATCCAACTAAAAAGAACAGAGATGGAAACACACCTCTCGATTTAGTAAAAGAAGGAGACACAGATATTCAGGACTTACTGAGAGGGGATGCTGCCTTGTTGGATGCTGCCAAGAAGGGCTGCCTGGCAAGAGTGCAGAAGCTGTGTACCCCAGAGAATATCAACTGTAGAGACACTCAGGGCAGAAATTCAACTCCTCTGCACCTGGCAGGTAAGCATCACAAGTGCATCCAAATCTCTTTTCCTTACTTGGATACCTAATACAGTTTTGATTATCAAAAGACGAAATGATTGACATAATTTTGTATAATTTCTTACTTTGAAATTTTCAATTATGGTAATAATAGTATTAGCTTCTAAAGCAGAAAGAATTAAAATCTTAATTACCTGGTCTTTCACAAGATAATTAGTAACATATGAATAGATGTACACATATGTATTTTTTTTTCTTTAGCTGACATGTTTGCCTTTTTTACTCTTAATAGCAGGCTACAATAACCTGGAAGTAGCTGAATATCTTTTAGAGCATGGAGCAGATGTTAATGCCCAAGACAAAGGTGGTTTAATTCCTCTTCACAATGCAGCATCTTATGGGGTGAGCATTCTAAAGTTAATATCTACAAGACTTCCCTGGCATTTACTGCTTTTTTAAATATATACTACACATTAAATAAGTAGATATCCAGTCAGTAGCATAATTTAGCACAGTTTTAATCAAAATTTTGTTCAGGTTTTGTCTCAGACCTTTCTTGTTAAGCTTAACTATTTTTTGATCAACAACCACACTTTTTAACACTTTCTGATCTCTCCATCTTATCTAGCACAAGAACAGGTATGTAATGAGTACTAAGTTAATATTTATGGATATAGATAATATTTATTAACTCTACCAGCAGATTTTAGAAGCTATAAAATCAGGAGGCTCCTATATAGGCATGGAAATTATGGTGGTTTATGCTATTATCAACATCTTAAAAATGTTCAAGTGAGTGGTTGAGCAATTTATATACATAATTCCAGAGGATGAATAACTAAAACCTCAAAGTGAAATTCCAGTGCCATCCTTCCAACTACTATAACTACTATTAGTTGGAAGAGGAATGTATCGTAATGCCTTGGTGCTGCTTTTCTGAACTAACTATAATTTAGTAACCAAGGCCCACTCAGGTCTGATCCCTCCCAGCAGTATAATAACAATTGCTCATGTTCTTGTCTATTCTTCCAAGTGATCACTAACTGGACTTTAGAAATCCACTAATGCCAGATTGTACATACCTGGAGTTCTCACAGTTGGATTCACTATTGTTGAGGATGGTTTATAAATTTGCAGAAATCTGATGAATTGTAAATAACAGCCAAACTAATTACCATGATTTCCCTATTCTCCCTTCCTATTCTCTTCTCCCTTGCAATAATACCTTCTGTGTTCTTAAGCCTTTCTGTAAAGATCAATATTTTAGGGAGATGATAAATCTGAGTGGCAATGCTTTTTTAAAAAGCAAACAGTCCAGTTTTGAACAAACAAGAAAGAAAACTACTTCCAAATATAATGTAAATTAATTGAAATACATTTAATTTAATGCATTAATTAAATACATTGTTAGTACTAAAATCTTTTAAATTGCATTTAAAATTGTCTTTTAAGGATGATTACATCTTTTATTAAAAATTTCAGAATTTTTTTTGACCTTACTTGACATAAAATTTACAGTTTCATTGCCCTGAAAACCAGGTATGCTAAATATTTGTTGCTAACATACTGCACATATATTTATGTATAATTACTTTACTGTTAAATTATAACTACACATGTGTATCATTTAAAAACTAATTTGAAGTACTTCTTAACATGATCCTCCTTCTCTATATTGAATTTTACTGAATTTTATATTGAATTTTATTGAATTTTACTTTGCTAAGCTTCACTTAAGAGTTGATAAAGCTGATGAGATCAGTAAAACTTGAATGGGAATCTTCTCTTCTTTGAAAACCTGCTAATGAGTAAAGATAGGTAGTGGCAGTAGAATTTTAGTAATGATCTGACATAATAAAGCTTCTGTTGTGGTTTTAGTTGTATAGATAACATTAATCGTCATATATTATAGATATAAGGAAGTTCTACCCATCATTCATCTTCTTTCACAATCTTCATGGCTGTACCAGAGGATAAAGAAAATAAAACTTAATTTTTTCCTCATTTTCATGGAAAAATGTTGAGATATTATATTGCATGTGTGTGTGTGTGTTTTGTTTTGTTTTGTTTTGTTTTGTTTAGTACTTTGTGGCATTTTACCTCTGAACCATGTCTCCAACCCTTTTCATTTTTATTTTGAGACAGGATCTTGCGAAGTTTCCTTAGGGCCTAATAAAGTTGCTGAGGCTGGCCTTGAACTTACAGTTCTCCTGCCTCAGCCTCCTGAATCCCTAGGAATACAAGCTTGTGCCCCCGTGCCCATCTCTACATGCATGTCATTTGATAACCATTCTGAGGGAATAGAATTTGTAGAGGTTCTCCTTTGTGGCTAAAGAGCAATGCAGTATGCATTCTTTCATGCTATCTTGAAAACATCTTGTCATTAGCTGAAGAGGGGTGTAGTAATGTATTCAATGTGACAACCAGCCCAAGGTTCTTTATTCATAAACTCATTTCCTCATGATCCACAATTTTTGCTCTCCTTTTCTAATACCAGGTGAGAAAAAATAATTAACATTTTTTTCACTATCTCTTTTTAAGTTTTACTTTTTGTTATCAAATCCCTTCTGCCTGGCTCTTTGTAAGTGAAGTCAGCTTACTAAAGTGAAAATGAACAGAAAATTCTCCAAGCTGTATAGAGGTTTTGATCAACCTGATTCATCTCATCTTTGTACTGAAGAATACAGATGAGCTACATGATATGTTTATAGCAAGTGTTTTTACCTCATTGTGTGGGATGGATTATTTGAGTCACTCTAAAAATCCTTCATGAATGTAACTAGTAAATTCAAATATCTCTGAGTTAATGACTACATACTATGAATTTAACACCTTATACTATGAATTTAACACCTTTTCTTTGATGAATTCTTTTTTTTTTTAATATTTATTTTTTAGTTTCGGCAGACACAACATTTTTGTTTGTATGTGGTGCTGAGGATCGAACCCGGGCCGCACGCATGCCAGGCGAGCATGCTACCACTTGAGCCACATCCCCAGCCCCTCTTTGATGGATTCTTGACCTTTTGGGGTTTTTTCCCTTTGCCATTTTTTTTTTTTTTTTTAACACATGCAACCCATCGCTCTCATGACACATAGTGATTGTCACTTGGCAGTAAATAAGGTCATCTTCTCCATTGAGAATCTCTGCTCTACAAAGTAATTAATATTATTTGCAAACCTGTAATCAATTATCAGTAACTATATGAAATCAATATTTCTGTCACTCTCAATTAAACTGGGGACTGATGTTAACACCTTGACTCCACTAGTTCAGTTTAAGATCTTTCAACTTTATAGTGGAGCTAAAGTGCTACACATCAGTAGAAACCGTACTTCAAACTTCAATTTTTTTCTAGGCTAGAGACATATGGTATATGATATGGCAGCAAGTCCCATCTCCCAGGCAGCCTCTTGATCCTAAGGGAAGTAACCAGTACTCTACAGGGTACTATGTTGCTTAGCTGTGATTTCAGTAGATCAGGTATATTAAAGGCATTTTTAACAATGACATTTTACCGTACAGTGACTATCAGGTACTTTGTCATCTTTTAACAAATGGGAATATAAAGGGAGATTTTTATTATCTGTAGGTATATAAATCTATATATGTTTCCAAAGTTCCTTTTTATTCATGCCATATACCTAGGTCTTGGCTAAATATTTTAATGAAAATTGGACCACACTGTGCATTACTCTATTAGGATGGGAAAACTCTTGTTTCTATTATATTTGTCTCAGTGATGTTTGGAACTGACCTGCCTTCATGGTATTTATGGATACACTTGCCTTGAAATCATCACTTGTGGAATAGACTTTTGTGCTACTTCATCTTGAATAAAGGGTTCTATACTAAAAGCAAAACAATTTGTAGGGTAGTTTAGTGTAGTGTTACCCAACGATCTTGACTTAGATGGTTTTGCTCTAATACCATACTTTCCCATTCTCAGCTTGTCAGGAGAATGGCTCTTGTATTTCAGTCTAGCAAGATCCTGCAGGCATCTGTAGTCATGGAAAAACCTGAAATTGGGATCTGAACATCCAAGATCTAATCTTTCCTCTTATTGCTCAATAACCCAGCAGCCTTTAGCAAGTGTTTTATTTTTTCCAAATCTTCACTTCTTTCTCCAGTAAATGTTGAATTCTAATACCTTCTTTACAGGGTTATTATAATGATTAAGTAAATACATAAGGAGCCTCCCTCCTGCCCCCCTCTCAAGCCACTATAGAAGTGTAATAATACTATTGGTAGAGCAGCTGGTCAGAATAAGGGCTTCATATCACTTCTACAAACAGCCTAGGAATAATCCATGTATTTTTCTAACTCAACATCAATATTAAATAGACACAGATTAATTTACTAGCCTGCAGGTAAAGTAATAATATAAAATATCTGAAAATACATGAAGTTATTTACTTATGCAGTTATTTATTGGTGATTATTCCTTGACAACATTTTTTTCTTCTAGAAAGCTTAGTCTGATCTCTGTGTGTCTTTGTTATATAAAAAGGACTTGCCACCTCAGTTTTTCCAAATGTATAAAATATACACATACTTAAGAAGTTTAAGAGTTTATATTAATGACAACGTACCTTATTCTGTTTAGTGTTCTTTAAATTATAATATGTTGTGTTATTTTTGAATGTACATAACACAGGACATTAATTTCTCTGCTAGTCAGTAAATGTAAATGTTTCATTGACATTTATTACCACAAAGCATGCAGTTTGTTGTCTGGTTCATTTTCTCCCTCAACTCCTTTGTTTTCTTGTATTTTTCCTAAAATGTGTAATATTTGAGGAATTTTATAAGATCATTGTGATAGAGCTTTAGCAGGAGCCCAAGCATGTTTCTCTTCACCCTACTTCCCACATTTCTAAATATAAATTAAAGCCTTTCCAGTCTCTTTATGTTGTTTGTCATTTAAAGTATTGTGTGTTGCAGCTGAATTCTGAAACCCTGTTAAATTTACTCTCCTGGAAACATTCCAAAAGGGTTCCATTTCTTTTCTAGACCTTCTAGTTCAGTACTTTGCTCTTGCACGATGAATAAGCTGAGCTGCAGCTTATTGCATTTGTCACCCTTAATTTTCAGTTACTATTTTTGCCCCAGTAGTGTAGCTACCTAAAAGAATTAAAGAAGTTAAGAGTTGTGTTTTTCAGTCTACTTGGGTAGTAATGTACTTCTTCCTGTTCATTGTTCTTTCAGACATTTGTCAACAAATTTAGCAAACATGTAATTGGTTTCTGTAAGCATAAACCATAAATTCAGTAAGGAAAGTTTAATAATACACACGGATACCAGCTGTACAATTCATTTTATACACATGCACACACAAACATGTAATTTTCTTTGCACTCTCTAATTTTAGAAGTCTATGTAGTCTACCAAATTTTATTATTCTGCCAGCAAACGTGGGAGAAAAATAAAATTAATCATCAGAAACAGAAACAGTTTAGCTATAACCTTACTCAGGAGAACTTTGAAATGTATTTTATGGTTTTGGATTAACTGAACAAAAGTTGCTTTTTGCAACATATATCCTCTTAGTAAGGGAGGTTTTTGTATTAAATGATTTTTTAGGTTTTTGTATTAAATGATTTTGACAGTGCCAAAGATGGTACCTCTATTTTCATCTTCTGTTACAAAGTCTAAAAATAATTAAACTATAAAATTAATTTTAAAATTATATCATAGTCTGAGAAGGACCGCAAAACATAGCCTGTTCAATTGAATTCCTAGTCTGCTTATGCTGCCTTTTTATTTTTTTCTTCTTTATATTCTCAGCAATGGAAAGCTTTTCTTAAGGAGTTGGCAGATCTGTCCCTTTAAGATAAATTTATTTTTCTTCCTGAAATTATGATTTCTAAGATCAGTAAATATCTGTATTATGTTTTTTTAAAGAGAGAGAGAGAATTTTTTTAATATTTTTATTTTTTTTAGTTTTCGGCAGACCAACATCTTTGTTTGTATGTGGTGCTGAGGATTGAACCCGGGCTGCACGCATGTTTGCACTACTGCTTGAGCCACCTCCCCAGCCTTATATTTTTTAAAAATATTAGTTCAGAAAAAATGCCTGTTCTTTTTCAAAGTACGTGTTTTCAAGGTAGCAGAAAAAACTATTTAAAGAAGATATGAAATAATATTCCATAAATCCTATTTTTGGATATCTGTCTTCCCCATCTGCATTTTCAGAGATCTCAGCCTCAAAAAGTCCAATATATTGTAGTTGAACAACAGCAGGAGTTAAATATGTATTATCAACAGTTACTGTGCGTCTGAATTTATTGTCAAAAGTGGTACCCCCCAAAAAAGTTCCCCTTATCAATAAGGAATATAAATGTGCCAGTCACACAAAATTATAGAGTATTAGAATTGAAATGAATTTCAGAAACACTTGAGTGGTAACCAGCTTAGCATTCCTAAATGTGTTTATAAAAATATACAAGTTATTTTTAATGTTTTTTTTAAATATATATTTATTTTTATTTTTATTTTTACATGGTGCTGAAGATTGAACCCAGGACCTCACACGTGCTAGGCAAGCGTTCTACCGCTGAGCCACAACTCCAGCCCCTATTTTTAATGTTTTTTTAAAGTCTGGTATTGAATTGATAATTCATGGGCTTAATTGATTTTTTAAAAATATGTTTTAAGTTGTTGGTAGACTTTCATTTTATTTATTTATATGCAATGCTGAGAATCAAACCCAGTGCCTCACACATGCCAGGCAAGTGCACTACTAGTGAGCCCCAGACCCTTAATTGATTACTTTAAAGCTTAAGAAGAAGCTGAAAACTTTGCTATCTAGAGCTCTTACTATTTGAGAGAATCTGCTCTGTTCAGAACTTTCTCTTTCATTACAATTCTTCCATAGTTATTTTCCCTTTTGTCCCCTCTGAGTACTGTTATTTGACTCTCCTTTTCCAAAATATTATTGTTTTCAAGGCTTTATGCTCCTTATTTTTTTTTCTGTATTTTTATTAGTGAGTTCATTTATCAAGTAGCTATGGCTATAAATTCAGTATCAATTTTGTAATACCTCCAGAGTTCCTACCTCCAGTGCCAGTCTCCTACTAAGTGTTCAGTAAATATTTGGTTGCTGGTTGAATTGGTTAGGAGACAGTAAATAAATGATGGTCTCTTATCTTGCTCCAACTGTTTCTATTAAACTATTTTAAAAACATTATTACTTTAGTGTTTTTCCTCAAGAGCCACCTTCCCCAAGTGAACTTATCTTTATTATAGTTCCATTCCTACTTAAACTTTTTCTAGCCAGTATCTGTTAGTAGTTCTGTCTTTATTTTTCAATCTGCTGACTTCCTGCTAAAATATAATCATCTTTTGAGTGTTTGATCACTCTTCTTTGTAGTCCAAATTCTTTTGTAATGAACTTTTCCAAACAGAATTGTTTTTCCTCCAAAAGTTCTCATATTTATCCCTTTGTTTTCATTCTTCTATACACATACTCATGCCCATATTGTTAGTGTGACTGCTACCCACTTTTTCTTCATCCCTAAATCATTTTGGACATAACCAATTTTTATAAAATGTTGTTTTCCTATGTTATTTTCCCAAAGTCTGTAAGAAAAAAGGTTGAGAATCCTTTAATAATCAGATCATAAAGTAGGTTAGAGGAAAAATGGGAATATCAGAAGAGAAGCACAAGGTATAAAATGTTTATTTGAAAAGTTTAGCAGATAGAGTAAACTGTTAACCAAAGACCTGAGAACCCAGGATCCAGGTATAAGTTTATTTTTTAAATTTGTTTTTAAGATAGACCAGAATGTGTTAGAAGAATGAATCTTTATAATAAAGCCCATGCAAAATTATAGAGTAAAAGAATAATTGTGAAATTGAGATTTTTTTTTGAGAAAGCAAGAAAAGACAATATCCTTTTTTTTTCTTTCTTTTTTTTTTGTAGAAGAAACTTCTTTTAAGGATGAGAATACAGACATAAATAGAATGAATTGCTAAATAGAAACAAGTAGACATGATGGAGCTTTACCAGGTGATCTCATTCTTAACTCTTTGCATCCTTTTTGTTTGTCCTCAGCATGTTGACATAGCAGCATTACTGATAAAATATAACACGTGTGTAAATGCAACAGATAAATGGGCATTTACTCCTCTCCATGAAGCAGCCCAGAAAGGAAGGACACAGTTATGTGCCCTACTCCTAGCACATGGCGCAGATCCAACTATGAAGAACCAAGAAGGTCAAACACCTTTAGATCTGGCAACAGTAAGTCCTTATTTCAGATATTCAGTATTGCGATTACAGTTTGAGAGTTAATGTTACTTTCTAGGGCTCAGCTATTTGATCTTTAGTAATGCTTGTTCTGCTTAGGACAAGAACAGATTTCCTTCTGAAATTTTTATATTATAATTTAAAACTGTTAAGACAAACTAAGCAGCAGTAAGCTTAATTACCTTACCCTGTGAGTAATCATAGGAATCCATATTTGTAACATGTGTCCTCAAAAAATTACTATGATATAGCACAGCTGATATTTGTGGTAACATATCTATGAAATCATCAAAGAAAAATTCAGTCTAGATAGTATATTATTCTTATGAAAAGGGAAAAGTAAATTTTATACAAGTATTTTCAAAACCATGAATTAAATTTTTGTGATTAATATTATTTAACTGCTAAGTTAAACATTATATCACCTTCCCTAAACTTTTTGAAAATCAGGGAAGTTAATTAATAGTCACAATAATTTATAATCTTTAAGCCAGAGATATTTTTCCATATTCTGTTTCATTTATGTATTGCTGAGCAATAGACTATTTCACAGCACTTAATGGCTCTAAAATAATGATTTATTACCTCTCATGATTCTGAACAATAACTAGGAGGTTCTTATGATGAACTCACCTGGGGTCACTTGTGCAGCTGCACATGCTGGGTGACTAAAGTAGGAACATAAAAGATGGCTTCGCTCATATGCCTGGAGCCTTGGCATAAATGACTAGAATTCTCTACGTCTCATCACTAAATATTCTTGATCAAATTTTTTATAGGATGAGTATGCAATCATCAAAAGGGAAAGGGCAAAAGCTGCCATTTCTTTTAAAGGCTAAACCTAAAGACTCCTGTCATTCCTACCACATTCTGTTGTGCAGAGCAAGTTGTGAGGACAGCCCATGTTGAAAGATTTGGGGAAATAGATGCCATTTTCTCTGGAGGGAGAAAAGAAGATTGTGTGGCCCCGTTTGATCTATCACTGCCCTCCCTATGGCCACAAATTGTTTACATTTTCTCTCACATTCTAACTTTATTCACTCATCCCAATGAGGGGACAGGTAGCTAGCTGTCACTGGTACATAGCAATTCCAGAATCCAGTCAGGCAAATATTATCAGAGCCATCTACTCTGCAGGCAGGGAGTGGCCATTGATTAGGACACACTTCTGTACCCAGGAAGTGGTTTTCTGGAACTCTCGATTATGTCCTCTTTCCATAGGTATGGCCCATATTTATACTTAAAAGGCTTTCTCAGCCTTCTGAGTGCTCCTAGAAATTTGGGGACCTTGAGTCATTCTTCATTTTGATTTGTCTATTCCCATTAGTCCCTCCTGGTATAATTCAGTTATAAATGTTTGAATTTCCTATCAAGTTATACGCCACTTCATCAGACAAAAGCCCCACCCACAAACTTCTTCTCAGCAAGTCCTCCTAATTTGGATTCAAAGACAAGATCCTGTGAGTCAATGTCCTTATGATTCTTAGAAACTTTCAGTTCTAGCTGAGAACTCACAATCTCCCACCTTAAAGGCCTTGGTAAGACTTTTACCTGTAAATCCATGTCTTGGAATTGTATTTTTTTGTTTGTTTTTCACTCTGAGACCATATGTTATTGTCAGCCCTCTGGATATGATCTTTGGTCTGAAGCTATTTTTTATTTTGAGAAATTTTTTGCTAGTAGAAAGGCTGTGGAAGAAAGACTAATTTTGTTTTCTAATCTAGCAATCTAGGTAAATGTATTTCCTTAGAACTGAACAATTACTTTTTAGTTCATTTTTATTTTCCTGTGCTTTCTACATTCTTGAACACATTGTATGCCACTGTGGTCAGACACTCAACTACACATTGGTCCCCCTTTCTTAAGTCTTCAATAGCAATTGCTTATTTTTCAACTTTCACTATTAGTGACCATGCCAACTTTCATGTCTCCAGCCAAAGCCATGTCTTAGTTTTTTGTTACTGCAACACCTACTTCCATGCCTGGCAGTCATTAAAGAAAAAATTCACAAAACATTTGGTGGTACTTGGTGAAAAACTTAACATTTATAATACAATATTTTTGTGTTTTCTTCATTTTTAGGCTGATGATATCAGAGCTTTGCTGATAGATGCCATGCCCCCTGAGGCCTTACCTACCTGTTTTAAGCCTCAAGCAACTGTAGTGAGTGCCTCTCTGATCTCACCAGCATCCACCCCTTCCTGCCTCTCTGCTGCTAGCAGCATAGATAACCTCACTGGCCCTTTAGCAGAGTTGGCAGTAGGAGGAGCCTCCAATGCAGGGGATGGTGCAGCTGGTACAGAAAGGAAGGAGGGAGAAGGTTAGTATAACCTGTGAACGCTTACTTGTTTATACTTTAATGGAACAGATTCACTTTTTTCCCATTGGTAATGATTGAAAACTTCATTTAGAAATATCTTGTCTTTAAATTTGTATACACACATCACCTTAGAAGGAATGCTTCTTCATAGAAGGCTGCTAGGTTCCTCAGCATCTATTTTGTTTTTATTTATGTAAACTGTATGTCCATTGTGCTTGTAGTATGCATATGTGTGTACAGTATGTCTATTTCTAACTGTACTATCTTATTAAACTATTATGTGAATCTTATTCCTGAAATTACATCAGAAAAACAACTGAGAGGTCATTTAAAGAATGAAAAGTGAAACAGTAGCTTGTACATCTGGATTTTTAATTTTTTAGAAGCATTAAATTATCCTATATAATTCTGTATTCTAGTTCTATTTATACTAACTATATTATTAGAATTAATATAAATACTTCTGCTATGATAAAGTACTCTGCTTTTACTTCTCAACTAAATGCGAGATAGCTTAATCTGAATTAAATTTATGTATTCTGAATTTTTTCGTACTATGTAAAAATCATCTGCATAGCCAAGCATGTCCAAGAGCCATGACTTTAAACAGAAACTTCTTTTAGATTCATAAAATTCTTTCCAATAAATTTTATTTCTATTTTAGTTGCAGGTCTTGACATGAATATCAGCCAGTTCCTAAAAAGCCTTGGCCTTGAGCACCTTCGGGATATCTTTGAAACAGAACAGGTAATTCTTTTATTTATATTTGAATGTTTTACGTATTAAGTTATTAATTGTCAGCCATTATTTCTTTTTTGTTTCTTAACAACTATTTTAATACTTGTAGCATTTCCCTAAAAGCCAGGGGAGCCCAAAATTTAAACTTCTCTCCAAAATTATCTGTAAGTGTCTTTGTTGTTTTATTTTATCTTTATAAACAGACCTGTTCAATACATTTTTATCAGTCACGAAAACTTAGATCATGAGAGGTGGGGATATAGTTCAATAGTACAACACTTATCTAGCACCACACACACAAAAAAATCTTACACCATGAAACCACTTCAAAAGATTATTCTCAAAGTTGTCTTTTTTGTTGTTGTTGTTGTTGCTATTGTTTGTTTTAAAAAATTGCATTTATTTCACTGCAGTTCCATGTATTAATTAGGATTCTGTTTATTCTGTTTTATTTTGAGAAATTTTTTGCTGTTGAATTAGGATTCTGTTTATTCTGCTTTATTTTGAGAAATTTTTTGCTGCTGTTTTTCTACAGAATTATGAGTTCTTAATACTGCATGCTTTTATACCATGGTTAACATTAAGGACTGATGATAAGAACCTGACCTTAACAATTATTGATGTACGTGGAATTGTAGAATGGTTGTTTAGAGGTCATTAAGTCATTCTCCTAGGTTCAAGAATCACCTTTTAACATCCATGTCAGTCCTCCAGGCTGGAAAGATGATTTGTTAGAACTTGGGGCAAGTGTAATAGAATGGTTGTAATTTAAAATATGTCAAGATCAGCCACCATGTTTAATCCATTTGATTTAGGTTTATGTTTACCCATTCTAACAGAAATATATTCCCTCAGAAGTCTAAAATCAATGTGGCTCAGGACTGCACACCCTACACAAACTTTAGGGGAGAAATTATTCCATGCCTCTTCTCAACTGCCTTGACTTTTCTCAAATTACTCTTCTCAAAGTCTCCTCTCCTGTCTTCATATTGCCACCTTCTCTGTGTCTGTCTTCTATGTGCTTATGAGGACATTTGGCATTGAGATTAGGGCCTACTCCTATAATACTGGTAGATCTCCACATCTCAAGACCTTAATTACATCTGGAAATACTTTTTTTCAAATAAAGTAACATTCACATTAATATAAATTAACATTAATATAAATACTACTGCTGTGATAAAGTACTCTGCTGCTGGAGATGAGAGCACAGACATCTCTTTTTAGGGTCACCAAACTACTACAACATAATATAGCCCTTCTTCTTAAACCCTAGTCAACTTATCATGGACTTTGTCTTTCTAACTTGCCCTCTAGAAATCTTCCCTTATTTTAGGATAAATATAACCTACTCTTTCAATAATTATTCATGTGACAGTTTCCAGATTGTTCATACCTTTGCTTCATTCTGTTTTCTTTCTAGGCAAATAATCAATTTTAATTGATTAAAATTAATGTACTGTTAAGATTTTCTTCTGCTTTTTCTTACTTCTTTACACATACTTTTTTTTTTTTTAGTTGTACATAACACAATACCACATACCTTTATTTATTTATTTATTTTTAATGTAGTGCTGAGGATTGAACCCAGTGCCTCACACATTCAAGGCAGGTGCTCTACTGCTGAGCCACAACCCCAGCCCCCCCACATAAATTTATTTATTATTATTCATCTTTAGTGATTTCAGTAATCAGAATAGTTAAGTAGAAATAGTGTTGGACTAAAGGAAAACTTGATTCTAATTATTTTCTCCCTTTTACTAGCTGAGTTAAAAGACATTTAACCTGGCACTTCCCCTACCTGTAAAATCTAATACTTGCAGATGTCCAGATAGTTAAAACTCCCAGTTATATTGTGCTTTTGTGCCAATTTTTAAAACATGCTTTAGTGAAGCATTATAATGGGTCTTTTTTGTGGTGGTGAGGACTTGATAGATTGGTATAAGAGTTTCTTTTTCTTACCATTTATTCATCCTCTGGTTCAGAGATTTCTTATGGGAATATTGTGTAAACACTAAGAATTCTTTTCCCACGTGCCTTCTTCAAAGATTTTTAGATTGTTATAAAAACATTATCCTTGCTGGGCACAGTGATGCATACCTGTGATCCCAGCAGCTTGGGAGAGGCAGCAGGATCTCAAGTTCAAAGCTCAAAATAAAAAGGGCTGGGGATTTAGCTCAGTATTAAAGCTCTCTGGCTTCAATCTCCAGTACCAAAGAAAACAAAAAACAATAACAAAAAAACATTATCGTCTGATATAGCCCCGTTATATCCCTTTAACCCAAATCATACCCATAATAATGATGAAATTTCAAATACATCTTCTCTTAATGAACAAGAGATCCTCATTTAAACACAATTCCAGTTGGCTATTAAAAGTTATTCAGTCAGCTTGCATTATAATTTTATTCCTTTTTTTTTTACTTTATTTTACTTTATATTGTATTTTCTTTGTCAGTACCTGACTTGCTATGGCATGCTTATCTCATCTTATGGATTTTAATATTAAGTTCAGTCTTTCATTCAGTTCTTCTAATAGCTTATCCCATTTTCATCAGTTTGATTCTTTTTTTCACTGCAGTTTTGTTTTGAGTAAATATTTGCTTGATTTTCTTTTTGCCCAAATAATTTCTTTATCTTTTTCTTAATATGTTGACTGTTGTATTTCATTTCCCCAGACCAGACTTGCTTTGTTTGTATAAAACTGTTTGACTGTTTTCTGACCCCGTTGTCAAGCAGTCAGTTTTATTTCAGTTGCAGATATTATCTAAACTTCAGTTATAAAGTGGTAAATTCAGAAGCTTTTTCCATAACTTACCCTTAGATTTTTTCTGAAATATTCTTAACTGGTCAGTAATATGTGACAGTGATTAAGATGTTTGCAAAATGAGGGCAGTGAGGCTACATTCATTGTGTCTGTTTCCTGAGACTCTTCAGAGTATCAGCTTCACCTCTCTCACAGTTTTTCTTTCAGAAGTCTCTAAATATTGTCTTGTTTCACAGATATTTTACTAGGTTCTATATTAAATAATATGTACCTGTATCCCTTATAGTTGTTTGAACATAGTACCAGGATGACTTTGGTTCTAAGTAGCTTCCTACTTAGAGTACTTTCTATGGGAAAAACAAATTTAATGTGCACTGTAATTCCTGGAACTTAAATGCTGTGACTTAGAAGATTGTGGGTGTATTTGTGGTCATCCTGTATATTTTCTTAGAAAATGACCATATAAATTTTTATTTAAGATTCTTGAAGACAAAGGCTTAGACTCACTAAATTTATCGTGAACATAATTCAAGATTAGTTCTTATTACTGCTGCTCTAGCCTGCTGTCTTTTTTAAGCCAAAATAAAAGAAAGGTCTTTTCATTTAAAACTCCCATCTTCTTTCCTTACCCTAGGTAAAATGAACAGATCTTAGAAGCAGGAGGCAATCCTACTAGAAGTGACATTTGCTTTATATGCAGTTTGATTTTAGCTCATAAAGGAATATTCCTTATTCTGAAGATTATAATTTGGGGGCTGGGGTTGTGGCTCAAGTGGTAGAGTGCTCGCCTAGCATGCATGAGGCACTGGGTTCAATCCTCAGCAACACATAAAAATTAATTGTAGATATTGTATCCATCTAAAACTAAAAACTGAACATAAAAAAAGATTATAATTTTACTTTAATGAGTGCTATATATAAATAACTAGCCCAGCAAACTTATTTCCTGGATATAACTAAGTGAAGGCTTAAAAAAAGAATAAAGATGTTCAGAAAGGTATTCTTAGCAGTTTATAAGATTGTAAAAACCCTACATCTTTGAACAGTGTGTCTAAAATCAACTAACCTGCTTTCCTTACAGTTTATTTCATTGATACAGTAATGTCATAGTTACCCAACTTAAGAACTTTGAAAGATCTTTAATTACTTTTTTATTTTTTAAAAGTATTTCTTTTTATTGAGGCCATTAGTTCTGCCTTTGAAATTGCTCTCAGGTTCATGTCTTTCATATCTTGTTCCAAGTCACCCTTCCTTCCAAGCCTGCCCTTCATAATGCCACCAGTGTCATCCTGAAATACAACTTAATTATGTTAGTCTGCTAAAAACACTTCCTAGTGCCTTTTTGTTACCATCTAAACTCCTTAACTCAGTATTCTAAGAGTTGTTTTAGAATTAATTGAAATGCTTATTTCCCTTTTTAAAAGAAATATTTAGCATATAAAAGGTACTCATTAAACATTTTATGGATAAATGAATAAACAAATCTAAATTCCTCTGTTTGTTATTTAAGGTTTCTACTGGCCAACTGCCTGGTAAATATGGGTATAAATTGGGCACCATGTAACTCAAAACAACTAAATTTCGCGTGTGTATTTGTGTAGTTAAGTTTAGCTTTCTAGCCATCTCTTTTCAGAAATAGGAACAGAAAAAAGAAAGAAATGGCTATATATCTCAAATCTTCTAATATTTGTCAAGCAGATATGATATGTCAAACATCTTGTACTTTTTTTGTATTTTTTGAAGTGCTGGGAATTGAACCCAGGGCCTCACATATGTTTTAGGCATATGCTTTACCGCTTTCTAAATCCCCACCCTCTCAGCTCTTTTGTGTACTATCTTTACAGGAGTTTTGAGCTTGCTTTTCCTCATGAGGTCATTAATAGTACTTTCATGGTTCCTTGTGAGGTTAAATGAAGTAAAAGTTAAATGAAGTGCTTTGAACTGCACTTAATAGATTGCAAGCACAAATATTGGGTGGATGAACGGTGGAACTGCAAGAATAATATATATTCAATTACAGGTATATGAAGTTGGCCCTTTTTTTTCAGATTCCAAATGATAACTATTTCTTGATTTTTCCTGTCTTTCTATGCAACTTAATATATATTTTCTTGGATTACATCAAATTGGACTAATGCCAATATAGCATAGGTATATTAGTAGTCCACTGCTGTGTAACAGAAATTATTCCAAAATACTGTGGCTTAAAATAACAGACATTTATTGTCTCACAATATTTGTGGGTTAAGAATCCAATCATAGCTTAGTTGGGTGCCTCAAGGTCTTTCAAAAATTAAGCTGTCAGGGGCTGTGGCTCAGTGGCAGAGTACTTGCCTTGCACATGTAAGGCACTCTATCGTCAGCACCACATAAAATAAATAAATAAGTAAAACAAAGGTATTGTGTCTATGTTTATCTAAAAAAAATTTTTTTTTAAATTAAGCTGTCAGCCATGACTGCATTCTGATCTGGAAACTCAACTGGCAAGCATCAGAATCTACTTCTAAGTTCACTAACATTATTAACTGGCTTTGATTCCTCACCTATGGGCCTTGCACAGGGTGACTTTATGACATGCATATTACCTATTGCTACTTGACAATACCACAAATTTAGCACCTTAAAATAACACACATTTGTAGAATAAGAATGTGCCCTGCTTTGTTGTGTCTTCTTGCTTCAGAGTCTCTCAGAGGCTGCCATCAAGGTTTTAGCCAGCAATGATAACTGAAGACTCAATTGGGTCAGGCGTGTAATCCCAGCAGTTCAGGAGGCTGAGGCAGGAGGGTTTCAAGTTAACAGCCAACCTCAGCAATTTAGCAAGGCTTTAAGCAACTCAGTGAGACCCTGTCTCTAAATAAAAATATTAAAAAAGGGCTGGGGATGTGGTTCAGTAGTTAAGAGCTTCTGAGTTCAATCCCCAGTACCAAAAAAAAAAAAAAAAAAGAAAGAAAGAAAGAAAGAAAGACTCAATTGGGAAGGGATCTCCTTCCAGGTTCACATGTTATTGGTAGAATTCAACCTGTTGAACTGAAGGCCTTACCATGTGGCCTCTCTAATATGACATTTTTTTTTTAATCAGCAAAGGAGAGAGAGGGTCTGGTAGTTACCATCCCATCATCTTTGCTTTATTTTCTTGGTAAAAGTAAGTCACAAGGTAAACCTACACTCTAAGAGAAGGAACACACAAAGGTGCGAACATAAGAAGTTAGGGGTGCTGGGGATATAGCTCACTTGATAGAGTGCTTACCTCACATGCACAAGGCCCTGGGTTCAATCCCCAGTACCACAAAAAAAAAGTTGGTAATCATGGCATCCATCTGCCCCACATGGCAGCTAGTTTCCCCCAGATGAGCAGTCCATGAAATGAACACCTAGGGAGAGAAGCCACATAGTCTTTTTGTAAACCAGTGTAAAAAGCAATATCTATCACTTCTGCCATATTATATTTGTTAGAAATTAGTAAGTTTAGCCCACACTCATGAGGAAGGAATTTCAATCAGGACACAAATACTAGGAGGCATGTTAGAGTTTGTTTTGCTTTCTACGGTAGAGACTTCCTCTAAACCCTTCTTTCTAAACTAAATGCCTTGCAAGTATCAATCTGTCAGGGCATTTTGTTGGTTAGGGTGGTTTGTCTGGGTTTTTTTTTTATTCATTATATGGCTAGAACTCTAAGAAGGACACATTGTGCATTATTAATTTAGAATATTGTTGAAAATAGTGTGGGTTTTTCTCCCCCCAACATGGTTTCTGCTTCTTTCATAAATATATTACATGTATCAATTGAGAAAAAAGGAGGAGTCTTTGAGTTGAAATTACCACATAACTATGAGATCCTACTTTTATGTCAACCTTACATAAACTGATGTTTAGAACATTTAGAAGAAAAAATAGCATATCACTAGCACGGTTTGCAAATTATATTAAATCATATCTAGCTAAATGCAAATCATATCTAGCTAAAAATGTAAAGACCCCTTTTATTTTGTGAACTATTCTTTTTTTCAAAAATGAGTTTTTCAGAATTGCCACTGTTTTAAAAGCTCTGCTGAAAACTTCCTTTGGGTGATTGGAAGTGAATTGCCCATTTTGTGCAATGGGGTAATTATTTCTTAAATGGCCACTTAGAAGCAATATAGTAAATTACTTCAAAGAATGAGTGATATAATGTATGATCACTGCACAGAGATGATCAGACTCATTATATAATCTTTCACTCTGATGATAAAAATCAGCAGAGCTCTAGGCCTAATTTGTCAGGTTTTTGAATGCTCTATGCAAGTCTAAAGGAAGAAAAAAACTATGGGTAAATTTTTTAAAAATCTCATTTGAGTTAGAGAAAGAGTATCTATAAAAGGATTTCTATTTTCCAAGGAAAGAGACATCAAAGGCTAATCTTGTAAACTGGTACATGAATTATCATAGGGCCTACCTCTGGATGGAAAAATAACAGGTTCAGCTTTCAGGAAATGTGGCTGAGATTTCATCCTGTGCATTCAGAACACTGCCACTGGGTGGTAGTAGAGTCACAGTTACTTTAGTCCACAAAAGTTTTAGGTAATTTTGAGCCAACTAATCATCTCCATCTACAGGGATAAATACCAAAAAATTTTTAAAGACCACTCTTCTATGCAAAAATAGACTGTGAGGCCCAGGGATTGTTAAGTCTGAAAATTTATGAGAGTTTAAAAACCACCTACTCTCCTTTTGGTAAGCCAAATTGGAGTTTTTAATACAGCTTCTCTATGTTCTATAATCTAATTTAATACTTCATAGCTAAATCTCTCTTCTTTCCAAGGCAACCTATTCCTGAATTTACTATTTCTTAGCACTGGGAAGTTCTTTTGCCTAACATCTGCTTATCTAAGACTGCTAATTCCTTTTTCTGCATTCTGTTTAATTTTACCATGCACTTCTCCCTTTCCTCACTATTCATTTCCTTTAACTGCTGGATACTAGGATCTAGAATGTCTCCACTTTCAATCTACTGATCCTACCTATATCTGGAGACGAGCAGAAGATAGAATTTAACAATCAAAAAGAAATAACAGCAGTGTTCATTTTGTATTTCTGAGATGCTTTATTCTCCATTAACTAAAAGCCAATTAAGGAATATTTCAAGTAAGAAAAAGAGCTGTTAAAATTATCAAGGCGACATTTAAGAAAATTACCAGGTCATGTTTATATAGGAAACAAAAGTTTAATTTGTATGGTAGTAATAGCAATGTAGACAAATGGAAGAGCTTTTGTCCTCTAAAGAGCTGTTAAGATTTAGCTACTAATTTTTTTTTTCATTTTTCAGATTACATTAGATGTTTTGGCTGATATGGGTCATGAAGAATTGAAAGAAATAGGCATCAATGCATATGGACACCGCCATAAATTAATCAAAGGAGTAGAAAGACTTTTAGGTGGACAGCAAGGTAAGCTATTCAGAAAATAATTTCAGATTAGTGATATAAGGTAAACATCAGGGCTGGCACCAGCCCAGATAGTCTGTCCACAGAACCCATACAATGTAATATTGGTACAGTACCTCCTGCCTTCCCATCTCAGTCATTTGCATTATATTCTCACTGTCTTCAAAAATCTGAAAATCATTCTCCTTTCTCTCTGTATACTTGTATCCTACATTTCTCTGCAATCTCTATACTTCTGTCTTTCCCCACTACTTTCACTTAACCAAGCTCCCCTCACTCTTCTGAACTGTCCCAACCACTTTCCAGCTTGTTACCAACCTTCACCTTTGCCTCCCTCCAGTACCTTCTCTACACTGTAACCAGAGGACTCTTCAAAATGAAGGTATGATCACATCATTCCATACCTTTAAAACCCTTCAATAGGGTTTGTTGCTTTTAGAATAAATCTGACACTTATAACCTAGCTGTTCATAATGTGACCTCTCTTCCTTATCTCTTCGTGAACTTTTCTCCCTCCCTCATGACTGTCAGCTCAGTCTTTTCCCATTGTCTTTGCTATTACAGGCCTCTTATCTTTCTCTTTCTCTTTTTATATTTATTTGTTAAATATACTTTCACACTAGGAAAACAGAGGAAGAGAAATGAAACAACTTGAATTAGTTAATTTATAGAATTAATAAAATTTTAACAGTGGCATGAAACTAAGAAAGTTTTAAATTTGAGTCTTATTTATCTATATTTTAGATTATCCATGAAATTAACAAGGATAATGTATTATAAAGCTATTATAAGTGACCATTTCAAGCTCTCCCCCCAAAAATTTTAGAGGACAATTTTATATTTTAAATCTGCTACATTGCTATATTCAGAGCCTAAATAGTATGGACTTAAGTTTTATATGTTAATTTTTCTCTCCTACAGGAACCAATCCTTATTTGACTTTTCACTGTGTAAATCAGGGAACTATTTTGCTAGATCTTGCTCCAGAAGATAAAGAATATCAGTCAGTAGAAGAAGAGGTAATGAACATTAAAAGTTTATAATTCTTTTTTCCTGAAACCTGTGATTAAACCTATTTTTCTAGGAGACATAAGATCATCTTGTATTGCCTTATGGTCTCTTGATTTTTATTTAGTATCCCTTAGCCAATGTAATAGAATATTGCAAAATTGAAATATGACTTCAGGTTAGAACCATGTCACATTGCTTTCATATCATAAACCTAGGTTGTTCAGTGTTGGGGGCAGGTCTGTTATTTTATATTCCAGAGTTTTCCTTGAAACTCATGCAAGTAAGGCTCTTATTAGAACTATTTTCTTATATTAGAATACTACCTAAGATTGATGTGGAGTAACAGTCTTGCCTCATAGATGCGAATATCTTCTAATCTGTATTTTCATGCAGTTATAATATACAGAATTTTCATATATGCTTCAGAAGTGTGCCACATAATTTTGAAATACATTTCATCCCTCCAGTCACAGTTATTTTAAGCACCATAGTAAGGCTATTTCTGTGAACCTCCTGGTAGATAGAAGGCATAGATGATTCCCTCTCTACAGAAAGTTTATGCCTCTCTTATTACTGATAATAAATGAAGTGCCCAATTCCGTTATTGTGAATCAGCTGCCCAATTCCATTATTATACAAATACATAAGCATAAAGCATATGTTTACATTTATTTGTGTTTGTTGTTTGTTGTTTTTTTTAATCAACACTCATACAATTTCCATTCCCACGCTAGGAAATTACATTAGAGAACTCAAGAACATTACTCAAAAGTCTTTCAGCTCATACTTAGTCACCATATCAAGAAAACATCACATCTTTTAGTGTTTTATTGCCTAATTATCCTTCCAGTAGTCAATTCAGATGATGTAAAATTTGTTGACTGTCTTCCCAAAAGGAGCAGTGAATAGAGAATTCACTCTATGAATCAGTTCTGTCAGAAACTTTTTTTTTTTTTTTGTATTTTTGTTGCTGTTGTTTTTAATGCAATGATGGGGATTGAGCCTGGCAAGTATCCATACGAAATAACTGTTTTACCTTTGAGCTATGTCCCCAGCCCAAGACACTTGGTTTTTTAAAATGTTTTCTTTTTGATAATTACTTTTTGTTTGTAAAGTGGAAGAACAGAGAAACAAAAAATGCATAAATTTAATGTTTATGACTTCTCTCACCAGAAATACTTATCCATTAAGTTTGTTGACCAATTTATAGTGAACTCCTATTTATTAGTACCAGATATTAGACTTACCAGTAGAAACCATATAGAAAATTGACATGTTGAAGACAACAGAAGGAATATCTTTAGAATTATACACTAGCATATTTTTACTATTAATTATTTTTTTCTATAGATGCAGAGTACCATTCGAGAACACAGAGATGGTGGCAATGCTGGTGGCATTTTCAACAGATATAATGTCATTCGAGTAAGTTCAAAAACTTTTATGGTGTAAATTAGATTTTAAGGCTTGCCTGAAAATTCTTGACGATTAAAAATTTTTTTAAAAAACTCATATTTTCAAACTGTCAAAGATAATTACTTATACCCAGAGATAAAGTGTCATTGTCCTCAATACAATATAATCTCTAATCCCTTTGAGACACTCTGAAAGCATTAAAGCTGCAAGCAGAAAGCTGTATCAGCCTGAACTGATGACTCTTGTATGAATGTGCATGTCCTAACTTATATGTAAATTCAGACCATAGCTGATGGTAATTTTTTTTTAAACATTTGAAAGTAACATTTAAGGCTTAGATTGTCAATCTCATTGAGTTAATGATACCAGAATACATATATCTCTTAATCTTAGTATCATAATTTAAAATATGGAATTAAGTAACTATTATTTACTTTTTTCATAGGGGTATTATGAAGATGAATAAAATCTGTTGAGAACGAATTTAACTCCTTAAGTTAATGATCTGTGGAAATTATACTGGTACATGTCATAATTACCCAGCAAACTTTTTTAGAAACATGGATTTCTAGGCCCCCATCTTATAAAATTTATTAAGTCTAGGGAGGAACCTAGAAATAACCTTTTGAAGCAAGAACCTGGTCTGGTATGGAATAAGTAAAAACTTTTAACTAAAAATTTGTCACTAAAAGCTAGCTCATTAACAGAATTCCACTGAAATGGCAACTTTTTCCTTTGTTTCTTTACAGTACCACAGATGGAACCCAGGGGTGCTCTATTACTGAGCTACATTACAGTCCCCACCATTTTTATTTTTTAATTTGTGTCAGGGTCTAACTAAGTTGCAGAGGCTGGCCTCAAACTCTGTCCTCCTGCCTCGGCCTCCCAAGTCGCTGGGCTTTACAGGTGTGCACCACCATGCCTGGCAACCTTATCTTTTTAAATAATGTCTTAAACAAATAGATCTAAAAAAATTTGACACCCCCATCCCTGGCTAAAGGAAAACATAGTTTTCATTTTAAATCATAGATTTTTATTTTGCTAATAATTAACTGCTTTGTTCTTCATCCATAAAGATTCAGAAGGTTGTGAACAAGAAATTGAGGGAACGATTCTGTCACAGACAAAAAGAAGTATCTGAAGAGAATCACAACCATCACAATGAGCGCATGTTATTTCATGGTGAGTAGCATGCAATTATTATAGACATCCCTCTGGGCTTTTGCAAAATTAATAAAGTGAGAAAGTTACATGATTGACTATATTACAATTGTGTTAAAATTGCTTGTTTTGGTTTTCTTTTTTTAGCCCAAATGATTGTTTGTACTGGCTTTCTAATGCATTACATGTTAGTACAGGATTTCCAAGGCATATGAAATGAAAATAATTTCTCAGATTATTTCAGAACTTCATTTGAGCAAGTTGAGCCATCTAGTTATTTTTTGTTGTAATTTGTTACATTCAGATAGCATGTAAAATAGTCTGTTTTCGTAGCCACATTGCACTTTGCTGTCTAAAAATCCCATGCCATCTGCAAAATCCATGTTACTTATACAATTCTAATACATTAAAATAACTTACGAATAATAGGCCAAAATAAACTTTTTCATGTATGCATTATTTCTTAATATTAACCTCTCAGTTCAGATAGAATGAAGTTAATTGGAATTCCAGAAAAGTGCTCAAAAACTAATCTTTGTTTTTCTATTTTTAGGTTCTCCATTCATTAATGCCATTATTCATAAAGGCTTTGATGAGCGTCATGCATATATAGGAGGAATGTTTGGAGCTGGGATTTATTTTGCGGAAAATTCCTCAAAAAGCAACCAGTATGTTTATGGGATTGGAGGAGGAACAGGCTGCCCCACACACAAAGACAGGTCATGTTATATATGTCATAGGTGAGCATCCAACATATAGTGTAATGGTGGCTACCATCAATAAACCTGATTAGTTTGGGGGGCTCTGCAGAAGTCACGGGTTATCCTTGAGTCTCACTTCTAATAAGTAAGGCTTAGCAGTGAGGTAAAAACAGCTGACCACCTTCTCCTCTAATAGGAGCAATTATGGCAAAGCTAATACCACGTAAAAACCAGATACATGTATACCAACCATGAATTGTAATGAACCTCCCTGCATCTGGGCTTTTCTCCCTGATGTTCACGTGCCTTTCTTCTTAATCAAGACAAGGCTAAAAATGACTTCTACAGAACAAAGACATTCCAGTTCTCATCACATTTGAACTAAGACAACTTCTGTAAACAAGGAGGCTCTTTAATTTGCTTCGGAGTTTGCTAGTGAATTGTTCACATTAGGACAGGACATATAATTAACCTTGAAAAGTTCAACTTTAAAATATCAACTTTGCAATTAGTGACAGTCAAATGAACATCAGAATTTTAAATAGGATTTTAAAATTCAGAAGGTGGAGAGAATAATGGCTACTTTAACTAGGAATAAAGCATAGTGCCCTCACTGAGAACAAATTCAGTGTGTGAAGTTTCAAGGAAGTAGCACAAACCATGTTTGATTTCCAGGTCCAACTCCATTCATCCCTGACTTCTCTGAAGTCAGTGGGGGGAAAAATATTTCCCCTGATAATCAAAATACAAAAGAATCATACTTTACAAAGATCAGAATTTATTACATTTTTTAAACTAATCAAATTTATTTTTGCAGTCAGCTTCATGAGAAATCTTTTTATTCAGCCAAGACCTTAAAAAAAAATTCATATATCCTTGAAATTCCTTATAGCAGTTGATCTTAAAACTTATCTCTTTCAGCTATATTGTGAAAAAATTTCTAGTCATCAGTAGTTCTAAGACGGATGCCATATGGTCAGAAGGAAACTTCTTTCCTATAAGACCTCTCTGGTTAAGAACACACAAATTACTAAGGATATATAGCATACAAAAGCTACATTGCTTCAAACATAACTCCTGTGGATACAAAAGAAAAAACCTAAATAAGCAATCAAAGAGAACCTAGCCAAGTAGCACACCCCTATATTCCCAGTGACTCAAGAGGATGAGGGAGATTGAGGCAGGAGGATCACAGGTTTGAGGTCAACCTCAACAACTTTCTCAAAAATCCAAAAGGACCGGGGATATAGCTCTGCAGTAAAGCTCCCCTAGGTTCAGTCTCCAATACCAAAAAAAAAAAGTGAACCTAGATGGGAACTAGCAATCACTCATTTAAGTGAGACACGTAAGTTTATGTCTTCGCCAGCATTTCTTCAAAAACAGCTTGAAACCAAAGCACATGACTAGTACTTCTTTGGCAAGTACAGTCACAAGTAACTGGGAACGAGGGCACAAAAGACAGGTAGAAAAAGAGACAGAGAAAACAATGATATATTATCTGGAAGCTAGGTCGACATCATTTCCTAACAAGTGCTATTGTTTGCTCAGCCCATGAGACATCTTCAGAGAAGCTGTAGGAACTATATTTTGTATTTCAGAATAGTAGTATATCAGTAAGGATGAATTTATCTAATGGCTCCTATCTTGCATTGACCAACATTTGCCCTAGTGAATTAGTACCCCTACATTGTATCTACTGCATAATGTATCACAGTCTGCAAGTCATGCCAGGTGAGCAGACATGAGCTGGTACTCTCCATCTGCTCATCTTTAACCTGAAGTCTCATGGGCTGGCTAGGCAGGTCATGCATCTTCTATCCTCACCAGCCAACAGTAAAGCTTTGGGGCAGGAAGCAGAAAGCTAGAAGCCAGGACCTGTTTGGTCAAAAAGTGTGTTTCCCCGATCAATAGACAAGGATTCTCAGAACCTAATGACAATACATTACTGCCACTACTGTAGAGATAGAACTCAAAAAAAAAAAAAAAAAAAAAAACTACCAATATAGAGCAAGACCTATTTCTCTGGGACCTAAAAGAGAATAGGTGGCACCCAACTAAAAAAGCAAGTTCAGGCAGGACTCAGTCATGCTAATAGATTCAATGCAAATTTTTAATTGGCTCAAAATATCTCTGATTGGTCATAACACAAAGATCATACTTTATTACTAAAAGCAAATTATTTGAATAATAACTATTCACATTTAACTGTGTGATTAGCTAAATTGTTTCTCAGATTAGGGGTTGAATTTTTCTTTAAAGGGCTAGATAGTTATTATTTTTGCAGGTCATTTTTTCCATGTCATAATGACTCAGCTCTCACTTGTAATGCAAAAGCAGCCATAGACTCTGTGGAAACAAATGCATGGGTTTGTTCTATAAAATTGTATTTACAAAACAGGTGGCAGTCAGGAGGATTGGGTCCATGGGCTATAGTTATATAATTTTCTTTCTCATCAACCTTTCATACTTTTTGTGACATCTGCCCAAATTCATATTCACCCAATAGTGTGACTTCCAGCTGTACATTTAAGCCAAGTTTTTTTGTTAATGGTTCACTTTTATTAATACTATTTATCTTATCTTAGTTTTTACTGTTTTCCCATAGTAAACGAATCTAATCTTAATTTCAGATGCTGTTTCCATTTTCTTGGTCTCTTTATATTCAACCTGTTTATTCATACAGCACTCTGTTTCCTCTAGTATTTCCCTTTTCTCATTAGACACAACCTAATACCAGTTATTTTCTATGGGTGATTTCTAAGCCACACCAAAACTACTTTAAACTAGAACTATTAAGCCTGATAATTATTTATAATAAATTATATGTCATACCCCATACCATTCCTAGACCTAAAATTTGAAAGTGACATGCAAGTTAGCTTTGCTTGTGTTAAGATTTTTGTAAAAAATTCAAAACCAGAGCTGGGGTTGTGGCTCAGCAGGAGAACGCTTGCCTAGCACATGGGAGGCCCTGGGTTCAGTCCTCATAAAAATAAATAAAGGTATTATGTCCAACTACAACTAAAGTATAAATATTTAAAAAAATTCAAAACCAACATTTACAGCTTCCTTCAAAGCATTGCTTTCTTTTTTTATTTAGACAAATGCTTTTCTGTAGAGTGACCCTTGGAAAATCCTTTCTGCAATTCAGCACCATGAAGATGGCCCATGCCCCTCCAGGTCATCACTCAGTTATTGGGAGACCAAGTGTCAATGGGCTGGCATATGCTGAGTATGTCATATACAGAGGAGAACAGGTATGTTACTCATCAAATATGCATAATCAAAGTTACTAAACATGTCATTACAGAATATGAGACTTATTTATAAGACTTAGGACACCTCATTGGTACCATTTATCACTTTTCACTTCAGGCATAAAATAAAGATGTGATTCTTTGATATTAACTTTGCATCAGTTATCTGTCAGCCAGGTAATGGCTTTTTTAATATGAAAGACTGAAAAAAAGGACAGCTGAGAAGTAAAGTCTTAGGTCTCATGCTGCTCTTGATGGTAGCTGTTCTGAATTATTGTTCTATAGTGTTCGATGACCCAAGAAAGTAGTGAAAAGCTAAGAGCAGCTGCCATTTGATGGATCTTCTTCATGGGTGTACTTACCATGGCTGGTTATATGATTTGAACCTATAATTCTGATCATGGTACCGTAGCTTTCTCAGTCATAAAGCTGCAGTATATTTTATTTTGTCAACTGCTTGGGGCTCTGAAGTAAAATTGGAAAAAATGCTTATGGAAATATATACTTAATTCAAACCTATCTTTAACTCTTACAGTACTGCTTCCAATGTGTCTGAAAACAAAAATTTTATAGTCTTTGTTGAATTTCAAATGAATACCATGATGAAAAAAATAACCTTTAGTATTGCTTATTGCTATTGCTTTCAGCAGGCAGAGATAAGAAATTTTATACACATATATGTCCACACAAACATATTTGCTTAAATGTAAATGAAACCGAGCCCAGGTCTTAATCTCTTATAACATTCCCAGCTAGAAGGAACAAAGCCTTCTTGAAGAAACAGGTAATTTAAGGGCTGAATTAGGTACAAGGTGGACCTTAGATATCTTGTTATGCCACAGCTCAAAAATAAATAAAACAAAACCATGGGGGCACATCACAAAGATACAGAAGCCAGCTTGAAGGAGCTCCCACTCGACAGTTAAACACTAAAATAAGTACAGTAATGAATTTTAAACTTTGGGGGGGGGGAATTTATTATTCTGTTCTGATAATAAAGGATAAATAAATGAGGGAGGAAGGGAGGCTCTTGATCACAGTAGGATGTCAAGGACAAATGGATAGTTCTGGAGAGAATATTGGAGTTGGAAAAATTACCATTTTGAACCATTATATGACTGCTAAATTTAGGTGCTAATTTCAAAAGGAGAATATTTGTATCATCTTTTTATTACAGAGTTACAAAAGAGGGGGGGAAACACTAATTGCACATTGAAGAAAGAGGACAGTGCCTTGACCAGATAATTAAAATTAACATGAGGGACAGATGGGCATGTAGCATGTCTCCAGAGAGCTATCCTAAGAAGGACACCAACATCATCTATGCCATATTCGGGCCCAAAATATATAAATCTAATCAAAATGAACAGTTTTTTTTTTTAATGTGGAAAGATTGATTTTTCAAAACTGTCAGCATTACAAAAGAGTAAAACGAGAAATTTTCCAGATAAATGTGGCCCCTAAAATTTGTTGATACTGGAAGTGAAAAGACACTATCAAAGAAAAGATCAACTGATAAAACTGTAACAGTAGATAGAAAAAAGTATTTTATCAATGTAAAATTATAATGTTGATACAATACAAATTATCTATTTTTAGGAAATACAAACTGGCATCGTATTTATGAGTAAAAGGCCCTAATGATGTATATAACTTAAATGTTTCAGAAAAAAAGTAGGTGTGTGTGTGATTTTGTAGAAGGATGTACATGTATATATATCTAGATGGAGATGGGGGAGGTGAAAATGATAAAGCAAATGAGATGGATCTGGGTAAAAGTTATATAGGTGTCTGGGTACCATATTAACTTGCAATTTAAATTTGTAGTTGTTTCCAGATAAGTTTAGAAAAACAAACAAAAAATTTTCCATTTTTCTGTTTAAATTGCAAATTCCAGACTTTTAGAGAAAATGTTTTTACTTTGAATCAGTATTTATACTTGTGGAAATTTGTATTAGATATAATCAGTGATTTGTCACACATAAGATTGTTGTTTATCATAATGAAAAAATTAACCTAAATAGTCAGCAGAATAGGCACTGGGGTGTGGCTCAGTTGTAGAACATTCACCTAGCATGTGTGAGGCACTGGGTTTGACTTAGCACTACATTAAAAAAATAAATAAGTAAAAATAAAGGTATTGTGTCCATCTACAACCAAAAAAAATTTTTTTTAATTCAACAACATAGGTTAAATTTTTGTGTAATAATATGCCTGTTAATGCCTTGTATTGAGATTATAAGTTATTTGTTTTCTTCATCTTTCATTTCTAAATATATTATAAGTTATCTATAGTAAACATTTTCTCTTCATTTGGATTGAAAGAAATAATAAGAAATGCTTAGAAAATAAAAGTAAGTTTACATTTCTGAAACGAATCATTCAACTATTTCCCAAGTAAAAGTTGACTTGGTAACTTGCTTAAAAGTCTTGCAATTTAGCTCAGTGGGATACACCTCTGGGTTCAATCCCCAATAACCAACCTCCCCAGTACCAAAAAAAAAAAAAAAAAAAAACAATCCTTAGTGTTCATTTTATTTCAGGGAAGGATACTCATTCTTCCACATCCAAGTAGACTTGCCTACATGGATAGTGTTAATAAATGTAGTGTCTACTAATTGAACAGTTTCAGGTGAATAATTTTTTCTGACTTTATGAAATTTTCCTTTCCCAACTTTTATATCATTCTCCTTAGTTACAAAGTCATCTTTATTCTTAGAGTTTGACACTTTCAAGAACACATAGATGTTATTTTCAGAAGATTGATGCAAGAAATAGTATTTATTAGTGGGATTATTTCCTTAGGATTTAAAAAAATTGATAGGTAAGCTACACTTGAAAAGAATGGCTCTCATTATAACATACATTGAACTTAAAATATCAGGAGTATGTTATGTGTTTTACACTTCACATTAGACATAAAGGAGAGAGATTCTCTCATCTTGGTTGCTACAGAGAGTTTGCCTGTTTTACTGAAATGGTCTGAAAAATGCAGAACATTTAACCTGGAGAAGAACAGACTATAGAATGGTTTTTAGAATGGTTTTCCATTATACAGAATTACTCAAGAGTGTATGACAGTCCCTTCTTCATCACTATGAGAAATAAACAGAGCATTTGAGTTTAAATTTTAGCATTAGGAATTTGGATTAAGGAAAATGTCCTGAATGTGAATTAACCAGAGTGGATGTTGAGTTTTAGGAACATAAAACAAGAAAAACATCTGTTTTTTATAACCAGCGTGGACTTAAAGTGACTTAACAGGGTGTAATGTTTTTGAGTCCATCCTAGTCTCTTTTAGTCTTGTAGTTTAATGATTTCTTTCCTTTAAATCCCTTTGAACTTTGATATGACTAATTGGTGTCTTAACTGTACACAGAAACAATTCAATAACCTAATTAGTAGGAACAGTAGCACTCATTAATAAGGGCCTTGAAGTAATCAATGCCATTAGAATCTTAGAATCTGACAAAAGTTTACATATGTCAGAGATCATCTTAAACAGTGAGCTACCAAAATGTGTATGTCAGCGTTCCTGACTTCTCTGCTTAAGCAGCTTATCTATAAGCATAAAAGAAGGCATCATACCAAGTATCAGAGGGAGTAAACTTCATTGGGACTTAAGAAAGTAGGAACAAGCTTCATGCTCACTTTTAACATATAGTATGTGCTCCTCACCAACCTTAAGATTCTTTTCTTAACCATTAAACCATCTGATTAACTACTCTGTGTTTCCATTTTCTATAAGTATATGAGATTTGTTACATTCTTTACACTAAACTCTAGAATTAACAGTAAGCGTCTGACCCGGCTTGTTTTAGTACCTAAAAACTAAAATGCATTAAAAGCATTTTAAGAATTAAGCAGTATGCAAATTATAATAAAGTAACATTACAGACTCTTCAGTTATTGAAGCTTCAACTTAGAAAGTCAAGAGATTGTTGATCTTGATTATTCCAACAAACATACTAATTGATGGATCATTGCGATTTTTAACTCAAACCAGAGCAGACTGAAATTTTGGAAAAGAACCTGATGAATGGTAATGGCTCTATACATGCATATCAACTTTTAAAAATACATTTATGTTTATTTTCTTTTTAAAATACTAACTGAGACATCTTAGGAGGCACTACTGTATGTTGAATGATAATGATGGTACTAACATTAATAGTAATAACCAACTCATTGAATTCTTACTATGACAGATCTATTGTAAGACCTTAGTATTTAGTCCTCATAAAAATCCAGGTATTATTACTGTTCACATTAATAGATGAGGAAAGCTTAAGACATAGATGTGTAGTAATTTCTGTCACCTAGGATCAAAGTATACTAGTTTTAAAGGATTCAAGCCAGGTACAGTGGCATACACTTATAATCCCAGCTCCTCAGGAAGAAAGATCTTGGGCCAACTGGAGCAATTTAAATATCCTCCCCAGCTTTTATAAAAAGAAAGAGAGACAAAGCAAAAATTCAGTAACTGTATCACAAGGTTTTGTTTGTTTTTTGTATTTTGCTTTTTAAATGTTAAAATGATTCAGTTTTTTTTTTTTTTTTTTATCCCATGTCTGTATGCAAGTAATTTATAGGTCAGGATTCAACAAATTATTTTAGGATCCGAAAACATTTTGAGTACCAAGAAGTATTATTTTTCAGCCACAGGACACTCTGAAATACTAAGCCTAGTTTTATCCTCATGTTTATATTTAGGGTTGAAGAATTTTGCATAGTAAACAAACTAAGGGGTTTTTTTGTTCCTCCTTTCTTTCCAATGGCTGTCTTCGTAGTGATTTCTGGTTAAGATTTGTAATGTTTTCTCTGGTCAGCCTTCGTTTTTCTGCTCCTATGGAGAAGTGCTCATCCCATTCCATTTATTGAACTTTGTTTTATTAATTGCAAGAATTTAAAAAAAGAAAAAAGAAGTGGTGGGGGTAGGGAGCAAGTCTAAATCTGAGCCATTATCTTTTCCAAATATGATGCCTGTAATTTGTTTCTTAAAATGGTCCCCCAAACTGTTTCCTCTAGGTTATGGGAGACTCAACACATTCACCCTTTCTCCTCCTAGCTCAGAGGGTTGCATCATTTTCTATGATTAATCTGAACTCAGTTGGACAGAATTCTTCTTTCATTTAACAGACTCTTATTGACCACATACTATATGACAGTACTGTGCTGTATAAAAGATATTAGTGCTGCCTTGTGCAGTTGTTTTCCTGTTTATGGCATGGGACTCTGTAAGAAGGGATGAACAGAATGTAACTATAGTTTTTAAAGTAGAATTAGGGGATTGGAGGTATGGCTCAATGGTGAGCACTTGCCTAGCATGTGCAAGACCCTGGGTTTCATCCCCAGCACCACACACACACAAAAGCAGAAACAACATCCAGTTTTCTATATTGTGAGATTTATGTTTATATACAAACAAGCAGGTGGACCTCCTCATTGTTCAGACACCTGTTATTGAATTGGATTTTGTAGGGTTCTAGGTCTATGTAGAATACTGTTTACCATCAGTAACCTCTGAAGCTTCCACATTAAATAAGGCTTTACAATTGTACCTATCAGAAGAATGAGTTGCTTTTCTTTTTGTCCGTAACAGGCATACCCAGAGTATCTTATCACCTACCAGATCATGAAGCCAGAAGCTCCTTCACAGACCTCAACAGCCGCAGAGCAGAAGACCTAGTGAATGCCCACTGGTAAAGACCAAGTCGATTCAAACCTGGGACTGGATTACAGTGGATTGTTTCCAACAAAAAAAAAAATCAATATTCTGTAAATCCCTGACAGCCTAGAAATAAGCTGTTTGTCTTTTATAAAGCATTGCTATAGTGATGAATATAGTATGAGTAACTGATACATACTCAACTGCTACTGTTCCCTTTGAGGAAATGTTTACAGGGGCGGCCTTTTAACATATCTCAGGCTCATTTCCATTGCAGTTATCCATTTCTAAAGCAAGGTCGCTTTGATCTACACTTGGAAATGGAAAAAAGAGAAGACTTACCAATATTGTTTCAAATGTTCACAACTTACACACTACATTTGCTTTGTTAGATATGGCATGTGGATATAGCAAATATGCACAGGCTCATTTTTAATTTTGTCCAAACACACATCATTGATGCTGGGGGTTTTGTTTATTTTGTTTGTTTTTTGGTTATTTTGAAAATGAGCCAGAGCCTTCCTGAGGATATTTTGCACAAAGTTATACTGACTAAAATCATTAACAGTGCAGCCCAATCTTCTGCCTGAGCAAAATTCTATCTCCACATTTTGTGTTTGATTTTGTATCTGTACTTCTTGATAACAAAAATCGAGATGAAAAGGAAAAGCATCAAATTTTAGTTTTCTTTAATGAATTGGCCCATCTGACAAGAGAGCTCCCAATTTGAGACAACGTCAAAGCTGGGGACGACTACTTGCTCTTTCCAAAACAAGCCCCACTGCAGGGTTGTTCAGGATATTGCTGGAAATCCCAGGAGAGCACAGCCAGGGAAATGTTAGAGTGAGGGGATTATGGCTTCAGTTTCCAGGTGAAATGACTGGGGAGGCTGGGGAGGAGGAACAGCATTAAGAAGAGAGAGGACCAAGTGATTCTCTATCATTGTAGCCCAGAAGGAGCGACAGGACCCCTCAGAGAATAAATAAATATTCCCTTCACTTAATCCGTACCACCAGAATTGTCGCCCCCAAAATTAGCTGCCTTATTTCCAAAGTCAATGGAATTATACTTCATTAGAGTCCCAAAAATTATTTCTTTATTGTCTCTTTAGTTTAGAAAGATCCTATGTAGTAAATAGATGTACACAAATGCAAGAACTTTTTTTTTACTCCAGATTTATTTTGAGTGGCATGCCTCAAATAGTTTATAAAGATCCCTGCACTAAATTTTTGAATCATTGCTTCAAACTTCTTAATATATTTAGACAAGGAAAACAAAAATTGAAACCAAAGCCTTTCAGTTATTTTTTTAAATGAAGATGGTAAAGAAGTACCATACTGTTTTCTTTGTGAAAGTACTGCTTGTTTTAATCAACAGTTGCCAAGTGCACATTGACACTTACAAAAAATTATCTCCTACAGTTCTTACACTTGCCCTGTTCACCTTAATTTTCAAAATGAAATTGTGTGCATTGTTTTATTTACTTGACATGCTGTACATCTACTCAGCTCTGAAGCAAAAGAAGCATAAACATGGTGGGAAAATAGGAAAAACGGTTTGACACAAACTTGCCATTTCAATTTAACGTCCTAAAAACTAATCTGGGTTTGTTGTTGTTATTTTAATGCAGGCTGATGAAGCTGTGACCTCCTTTAATCTCCAGAAGTGAAATAAAATGGTTACATGCAAAAATTCTAGAAATAGGTCTTGATATACACATTTTGCTCTCTCTCTTTCCTTTTTTTTTTTTTTTTTCCCTGCTTGAGTACAATGCTAGAACTAAGCATCCACAGAGTAGTTTAAATTTTGTAGCTGAATCTTGCATGGGTCCTCAAAATTAAATCAAGAATATTAACCTCAGTTGTTGCTTCTACTGAAGTTTCAGACCCAGGCTGGGTGTTTATGTCTTGGCTACATATTTAGTAGCACTAGAAGCCCATATAAAGCTTCAAAAATTGATACTAAGAGGGTTTTTTTTTTCTTCCTTCCCTTCTCTTTTGCTGTGTGTAACAAAGGGTTGAAGAAATTGCCATCTGTGTGGTTTTCAGTAGTCGTGAAGTGTGCATTACTTGCCCCATCCCCTGGCATAGTTTTAAATGGTAATAAACACAGCTGTGATTTTTAGTTACGTAAAAGAGTTAATATGATATAGATATGGAAAACTTAATAGCTTCATTAAAAAGATAAACCACTACCCAATTGTGGTTATATGTTGTGTTGTTTCCATCACACTGACCAGATTAACGGATGTTCCAGTTTTAAACTTGAGCCTTACACTTGGAAAAGTGAACTGTGGTTCATTATTTAAACTGCTGGTATTACATGTCTGATGTTTTGTGTACTGAGAAAAGATGCTGTGTAGTGGGGGGTGTTTGCAGTGCCTCGGTCTTGTAATCATTCAAGTATGCAGTAGTTTTTGAAAGAATATTCTTATATTATGTGCTGAAGAATGTGGGTTAAGGGAGATATCAGAAGAACCAAGACATTTTTTCAGAACTTGAAAACCAAGCGTCATCATGAATATGCTCAAAAGTTGGCAAAAATGTATTACATTTGGAAATTACTTTTTCAGAGTAGTAAGAAGAACCTCTGGCATTAAATTAAGCTGAAATGTATTTAATTTCTTGTGTCTGCAGTATATAGAAATACTAGCAAGATTGGGACTTCCCTAAAATGATGTGTTTCTCAAACCAAGTGGAAGAGAGAATCTGAACATCTCCACCAGTTTTACCACAGCTGTAAATCAAAGGGGTTCTGTCTAGACCTGATGGTTCCAGTTTACCAGGTTTTGGCCAACTGGATACATAGCTATAAATTAAGCATCCTAGACACTTTTCTCCTTGTACTTGACCTTCAGTTTTCCCCAGATTGCTAGTCAAGAATTTAAAATAGCTCCAAACATTACCTTTGATCTCACTCAGTGTCCTTCTTTCTTCATCTTAGAAAAGAAATCTAGGTACTTCTCCATTTTCATATCAAACCAGAACTTGGAGGCTTCATGCACTCTCCTCAGAAGATTCTAACCGAATGACAGCATGGAACCCAGAGTTTAATTCTATGCAAACTTACAACAGTACAACCAAGATTCTTATTTTCCTTTTCATTCTTGGAACTTAGAATTCCTAGCTTTTCAAGCAGCATAAGTAGAATTAAACAATACCAATGTCTTCATGAAACGGCATCCTTAATGCATCATTGAGCTTGATGTTAGCCATCTCCCCTTGCTCTCAAAATAGCAAAGTACATTAGAATACACAGAGAAATGCCTGAATGTGACAAGCAAAAAAAGTAATATAGATTAACATTCTATCACTGATATTATACAAAAAAATTTTGGTTAACACTAGAAAACAACATAAGAATGCAAGAAGTTGTCTAGGTTTTTCTCTATTGCAGTATATTTCCCTATTGCACGAAGGATTATTGGATATTGCTCCGCCCACCCTTTTCAAACATGTGCACTGTCTGGATTCCTGTAAATGGCCTTGCAAACAGAAATGGTGTATTTTTAATCACTTTTCCCCAGTGTGTTCACATCCCGTTAGTGTGATAGCTATGATAACAGCCTTCTTGCTGTGTTTTCTGTCAGCCTAGTTATCTTGTATAGAGTTATAGACTTTAGTCATTCAGCTTATATTCAAAACCAACATTAAAATAGGGTTTTACATGTCAGAAATTTATTTAAAGGCTGAAATTAATTTTGTTTGATGTCAAATCAATGACAAAAAAATGAAAGTAATATTTGACACATCTAGCATATAACAAGGTAATGCATTCAAAAAAATACCATCCTAAAAAGTGAGATTTCTTCAAGCAACTCATGCATTCTGCATTTAATAGACAAGTAAATATTTCTAAATAGGAAAAGCCTTAACTGTGGCAGAAACTTTTTAACCTTTTATATTCTAATAAATGTTGAAAAGTGTCCATGAGTCAGGCATGTCTCCATGTATTTCATATCTGTTAAGCTTATTTCATGAGGGTCTATTTCATAAATAATACTCCCTCACCTACAGTGGGGCTGACATAATAGTCCATTCCAATCTGTTCGCATCTGAAATTCTTCAGCTACCAGACCTTCCGGTTTGGAGAAATGCTAGAAAGACTTCATTTAAAGCCTGTTAAGTTGATATATAATAACTTGATATCTTGAAGAATTTGAATGATACGAAGTTGTTTTTTAATCATTTTAAAATACAAACTATGTTGTATTACACTGAAAACCTTTCAGAAGCTGAAGATTTTATATATTCTGTAAGACCCAATATTGTTATGCTGTGACCAGCTTTAGTCTTCTGCCTAGAGTTTGGCCTCCTATGAAATGACACACTGGAGAAGATGCATTTTGACTCTTCATTCTTTCTCTTTTCATATTGCGACATCTACCTATTACCATCCTTTCAAAGAGTTTTCTTTATCTGTATACTTACTTCCATATACAGCAAGAATGCCCTTGGTTGATTCAGAGCTTTGCAGAGAACTGCAGTTAAACATTGTAGTGGGATGTAACTCACATACCCTCTCACCTCTCCACCTCACACCCTCTCACCTCTCTCAAAGTTCTGGATGAAAAACTAGAAAACACCTCAGTGAAATTAAGTAATAGCCTAGATCCAGAAAATGACCTTGACCATATAACCATTGTGTTCATTACATAGAACACTTAATGTGCATATGATACCTGCTTCTGCTCCCATTGGTTTAAGCTTATCATTGTGGTAGTAATATTTGTCTTTGTCATCTACAAAACTGAAAAGGTACTTTGATAAACAAGGTTTCTCAAAAACATTTACAAAACCAGCTTGGAGGAAATTAGAGTGTTTCCTGGCAGCAGCATTTGGAGTAGTAATTGTATTTCTCATTGTGATGTTTGTCTGTGTAAGTAACCAATGTAGTGACCCTTTGGTTTGTTATTGGTGTTGTTTTTATTTTTAGTCTGTGACCCACCAGTAGCAGGTGGTTCCAACCCCTGCTTCTTTCTTTTTACATTTGTCTATTTGTAGGATTGCCAGATAAAACTCAAGATGCCCAGTTAAATTTGAATTTCAGACAATTTTTTAGCTTAAGTACATTTCATGCAAAATTTGGCATACCCTTATCATTAAAAAAAAGAACTATTCAATGTTTATGTGAAATTCAAATTTAATTGAACACCTGGATTTTGTCTTTTTCTAAATCTGGCAATTCTACTGATTTAGTCATGGAAAACCACTTACAGCATGTAAATTCTTCTAGTCTTCATTATCGTTTGCCTGGAATAGAAGACCTTTTTTTCTCTCACCCTCTATTTATTTCCAAAAGAGGGCATCAAGGAACTTTACCTGCCTCCATGGTAGGTTTCTATTTAAAACATATTTGTGATCATATTTAACCTGTAATTGTGCTTTGGCTTAACGTCTAACTTACAGTACTTGTAATTGATTAATATTCAATAAAAACATTTGTAAAGTATACTGTGTGTAGATAACAGCTCTTAAGTATTTTCCTTTCATTTCATTCTGACCAACCCCACACAAATGACCTGAAATCATAGAATTCACATAGCCACACTCCTTCTGTTTTCCTAGTAAGATCTGGGTTTGAGGTGCCTTATCCTCACTGTAGCCAGTGTGGGAGTTTACGAAAGTATAGCAATGGCAAGAGAAACATGGGTTCCTTTAGAAACATCTCTTAAAAGGCAGTGGACCAGAGTCAGAGCTCACACCAGTTCGAAGGGCAGCTCATAGGACCTCTTGGTTGGACTTCTCAGAGACTCCCTCTGTCCACCTCTCATATTGGAAGGGAAGGGGAAGAAAACCAACTTAAGTCATGGTAAATATTAAAGACCTAACACAATGCCTGGCATAGAGAATGAGGGAATTTTACCATTTCTTCCCCCATCTTTTCTCCATACTTAGTGATCCATTAGGTAGCAACTTAAAGCTAGAATTCTTTACCAGAGGGATTATCAGAGTCACAAGTAGACTTGAAAATTAAGTACTTGGAAGCCTTTTGTTAACCCTGCAAATAATAGTCGTTAAGGCCATAAAATAAGCCAAGTTCCTTCTCCCCCACCCCACCCCCACCCCTGCCCCAACCACATCCCCAGCCTTCTTTGGTTTTTATTTTGAGACAGGTTTATCTCAAAATACTTTCCCCTATCAGACCCAGCATTGTTACTATGTACCAACCTCTGACTATGTGTAGAGTCTCAGTATGAGTAGAAATATAAACAAAAAGAGTTGATGCCATTATGTGATTTTATGTCACCAGTGTCTCAGGAGATCAAATTCTAAATGCTTTTAGACTCAGGTGCTCTGCTTTGATTATCCTATTAGAAAAACTAGAATATCTGAATTGTGCACAGAAAGCAAGTGGACTTTAAAATAACAGAATTTCAACAGCTTGGTTTTGCTTGATGATACAGAAATATCTGATTTTATAACTCATAACTTTGGAGACTTAGCCAAAGGGCAGAGACAGAAGGCTACAAATCGCTTGCTAGACTGGATTGATTTTTTAAATAAAATTATTTGCAAGAAAAATAAATCCTATCAATATAAAGGGATGGGTGTTTCTTAGGCAGCAAATTTTAAAGAACTGTTTTTTAATTCCATTGCCTATAGTGCTTGGGTTCTTGGGACACATCTCAGAGTAGAGGCAGTATACCCTATTTAGAGCACAGTAAACCTTTATCTTTTGGTTTGGCTCACTCTTCCTCATTTTATAATCCTAGAACAGCTCAAAAGACCTCCATGCTAAAGGAGCACCTGATTCTACATTGGAAATAATAAAAGAGATAATCTGCTCCCATCCAGTTAGGACCTCACTGCCAGGGTTTCTGATTAGCATCTGCTCTGAAGGTCTGGACATAGGAAAAGGAAGTAGAAAGGGTGTATGTCTTCATTTTGGCCAATTTCCACCATAAAACTGCTTCAAATATGGTAGTAGGTCACATGTTGATTTTGTTAATTGGATTTTTTACATACTTCTCCTGGCTAAGGACTTATTTATAAAGTAAATCTGTTTACGTTCATAATTTTGCTTACAAGTCAAAGTAATAAAAGTAAGGTAACAGTGGATGGAATCATTGAGGGCATGGAGAGGCCAAAGTTGTCAGGAAACCAGTGTCTACCGCATAACTCTAAGGTTCCTTCATAACTCCAAGAGTGCTCTATGCCTCTACTTTCGTATTCACTAAACAGGAATACTATCTGCCAAATAGTTTGGAGGATATCAAAGTTAGACAAATCAAATGCTTTTGAGGTGCTAGGAGAAAATGAAAGCACAATGAATGTAGATGACTAGTTAAGTCTGTTAGTGCAGCTAATTTGTTGAAACACTATTTGGATTAAATAAGACCCCAGTCTCCACTTGCTAGCCATAGAACCAGTGGGCAGTTTCCTCCCAGTGCCTGTTTCCTCCTCTTTAAAAATGAGTACACTTATTACTATGTTTCATAGTCTCTGAGAAATTGACTAATTTTATAGCAAATGGTTTTGGGTTTGTTTTTGTAATCCAAAAACTGACTCCATTGTCCTTTCCACTCCGAAGGGAAAGCACATGGTTGGCCAGAAAGGGGATTAGAAGAAATAAATTGCATAATTGGCTTAGACCCCTTGAAGAATTTTCTGCTGGATTGTAGCCCAGGGTGCTGCAGAGTAAAACCGGAAGTCCAAAATCAGATCTAAAATTTTGGTTGCTCCCTATGGATGCGGTAATGAGAATGGAGAGTTTTATAGGAATTTACATTTGGAATATCATCTATTATCAATGATCATGGTGCAGTGCATTTACCCAAATACTCGGAAAGAAAAACCTACAACAAGATCTGGATTAGACTTTGGACCACAGACCCAAGGCAAATGTAGGGGAAGGAGTTGGGAGAAGGAGTTGTTGAGTTGAATCTGATTCCGTCATTACCATCTAATAGTGTTATCTCATGGTGATAGCCAGGAGTGAGAGAAAGGCAAAAGATTTATTCAACAATTGTTTTAATTGAACTCTTCTAAACTAGTTAATCGTGATGAATATTATTTTTATTGTCAACTATTATTGTTTAGCTATCTTTGTGTGTCTGACTTCTCTCTCTAATCAGATGGTTCTTTTTTTTTTTTTTAATGGCCCGGGCCATTGGATCCCCAATATAGCCTTACGCAGTGCCCTGAACATTGGTTCTATTTCCAGAATGCACTTGAGTAAACTAGCATATTGGCAGATCAATCTTTAATAAAGGGTGTGTAGATGAGTCCTGGTAAATCACCCTAAGCTGGTCACATATTATAGGATGAAGATGAAAATGGAGAATAACATTGCATAGACTGAAAATTAGAATGAGTCTTCAGAGATCATCTGGTCTAGCTGCATTATTTTATTGATGAACATACAAGAATGTGAACGAGAGTAATGAGAGGAGTATGTGTGAAGATGCTATGGGCTGGGAAAGGGCAAGAGGAACCCTGCTAGGTCCTGGAAATATTCCATATCTTGTTCTGGATAGTGGCTACATAAGTGTATACATACATAAAATTCATTGAGCTCTACATTTAAAATTTGCACCTATAATTGAGGTTATACCTCAGTTTTTTAAAAAGAGGGATATAAAAAGTTGATTGGAATCTGTGCTTGTGTGAGACTTGATAACTTTGACTTACGTGCACTATTCATGGGAAAGTACCTTCTGTTGATGTATTTTGGTAATATATTTTGTGCATATCAGCAACCTGATTACAAAGTTTATATAGAAAGGGAAAAGACCCAGAATATCCTACACAATGTTAAAGAACAAAGTTGGAAGACAGATACTACCTAACTCTAATATTTATTATAAAGCCATGGTAATCAAGATGGTATGGTACTGGTGAAGGAATAGTCAGTCAGTCAGATGAGTGGAACAGAGTCGAAGGCCCAGCAATAAACCCACATAATCAACTGATCTTTGACCAAACAGCAAAGGCAATACAGGGCATGGAACAACTAGCCAACCACAGGCAAAAAAAAAAAAATGAATCTAGCAATAGACTTTATGTCCTTTACCAAAACTAAAATGGTAGCAGATCTAAATGTAAAACATAAACTCCTGGAAGATAACCAAGAAAATAAGAAGACTGTGGCTTATGGCCATCACATTTTTTAGCTAAACACCAAAGGTATGTGTGAAAGAAAGGATTGATAAGCTTCATTAAAATTTAAAACTTTTGCTGTGTGAACAACATTGTCAAGTGAAAGAGAAGACAAGCCACAGGTTGGAAGAAAGTATTTGCAAAAGTTACATCTGTTAAACAGCTAACCCAAAATAGAAAACTCATAAAAACTCAACAGGAAAATGAAAAAAAATGATCAAAAAATAGACAAAAGATCATACTAGACACCACTCTAAAGATATATAGATGTCCAATAATCATGAAAATTTGTTCATCATCATACATTATCAGAAAAATGCAAATTAAGTATATGGAGACAGAAGTTCAGAGGTGTGAATAAGCATAGCACAGAAGATTTTTGGGGCAGCGAAACTGCTCTGTTTGTGACAGTGGATACATATTGTTATACAAATACCAAAACCCATAGAATGTACACCAAAAGTGATCCCTGATATAAACTATGGACAGTGGGCAATGTGGATGTCTTCTTATAGATTCACCAACTGTAACCAAAGGTGCTGCTATAGTGGGGAATGTTGACTGGTGGGAAAGAGAGGCATATGGGAATTCTGTGTACTTCCTGCTCAATTTTGCAATGTTTCTAAGAGTACCCTTTTAAAAAGTGTTTTTTTAAAAGAGAGATGTGAAGGATAGAAAAGGCCATGCTTTGTGTAGCTGTGGAGAACCTTCCCTGACCACCTACTAAAAGCCCAGGCTGCATTCTGATGCACAGTGTAGCTCAGGTGCTCATCTCTGAACCTTGCCCTGTGGCTAAGTGGGAGGGATTATGTTGTTTAATTAAGGCCTGACTCAGGGGCTTCCCCTGAAGCGTGTGGAAGAATGGATATACCCATGAATCAAATGGGGTGCTATTATTGAAGGATGAGAATTGATCTGTGCTGAGCAGCAGAAACAGCAAGGGAACATTATGATGAGTGACCCCTTAACAAGTTCAGTAGCTTCCCCCAGAACTCCCATATTACAGTGAGTGGGGAGCCAGTTTCCTGGTTACTGCTCTGATCAGGCAGATGTCCTGCTGTCACAAGTGACCTGAGCTCCGTTTTCAGGTCATCCTGGCTCCTTTCTCTGCTGTCACCAGGAGATTCCAGAACACAAGGGGGAACTTTGCCAATTCCAGAAGAGAAAGTATATGCCACTTAACATGTAAATCCTGGGGTGGGCTGGGAGAAATCCTTTAGAGAATGAACAGTTAGGAAACCCTCAGTATCAAAGGTAATAGCTCTCTCCAAAGTTTTCTCCTCCAGGAGGTACGTGGGGAAATTGACCACTTTGCCTGTTTCTAATCTTTCTCTCTGCCTTTGCCTGTCC